TTGCTCGTCTTCTTTTGCGTTCTATTTTGTCGTCTACCTGGACTCTGCTATGCTGTTGCCTGCCGGTGGAGCTTGTGGCCGTTCTTTCTGGACTTATCTGGACAGTATGGACGGATGGTTGTTTTCGGGCTTCATCCGACATTGTGCCTGTTCTTTTGCTGCAAGTGCGTTTGGAGTCTATGACCACCAATTTCTAATTGGCCAGCGCCGTTCAACATCAGAGACAGTACCATAGATGTACCCATAGTTGATCAAACAGAGGATTTTTTCTTATGATCACGGTTCTACAGTTGAACCACTATAAATCACCTAAGGATAAACAAATAGTTAATGGGCAGCGTGATGCATAAAGCATCAAACACGTGACTCCGTGTTACCCGCGTTTCTTCTCCGGCGGAGATCTTCAGGACTTGCTTTGGCTTATCGGAGCGCGATCTGCCCCAAACCATTCTTCTACTACTCCAAGTCAAAGCAGCGTCCACCTCTCCATTCCAGGCACCTCAGGGTGTCGTCTTGAGTTCCTGATGCTTCCCTCCGAGGTCGCACAGTCGATCAGCAAACATTGGCCTTGTCGCGAGCTCCAAAGCCGCCAACTTGCTAGCCTGCTCGGTGTACGTCCGTCCACGAATTTGTGTCCCCGATAAACCCTTCTCCTTCCCCCCCCCCCCCGGTCAACGTCGCAAGGCCATCTCTTCTTTCTGGCTCTATCTAGCGCTAAAAATCAGCAAAACTAATAACGTATGCGGACTCCAACAGGCCAAGGTCTCAAGCCCGTCTACCATAGTCGTCCATGGCATCTCTGCCACCTGCAAGACCACCATCGTGCGCAATGTGCTCGCCGCCCTCGACGTCCCGCACGCGCTCGTCCGCAGCCCCGAGTGCATCACCGGCCGCCATCTGCTCACCAAGATTCTTTGGGCCACCCTGGAGGCGCTAGGCAAGCGGGATGAGTGGGAGAAGTACGGCAAGGGACGCTGCGAACACGTCAGTACGCTCGCTGTGCTGCTGAACGAGTGTCTCGCTTCGGCTTTCGTTTCTTCGCAACAAGAACAACACCCGCCGACGCGCAACAATCGCAACAAATTCGTGCTGGTTCTTGATGGGATTGACAAGCAGAGAGAGGCGTCACCTACACTACTGCCTGCGCTGGCGAGACTGGGAGAGGTGGTATGTTCTTCTTTCTTCGCCCCGCCCCCTACTTCTTTACCCCTGTGGATGACTGGGGATTGCTTTCTGTGTTCATCCTCTGCATTCTTTTGATTGCTGACTACTATCAATTTTTCGGCCTATATCACAGATTCCTTCGCTATGCGTCGTCCTCGTCCTTAGTACCCCTCCGCGACCGCTCTTCTTACAATCGGCCGGCGTCCCACATATCAGCTTCCCGCCTTACACGCGCAATGAAGCCACGACCATCATCCTCCAGGGCGGTCCGCCCCCGGCTGCCGCCGCCACCCTAGGGCTTTCGGACGCGGTCGCCTCGACCCTATACCCGCATTTCGTGGCGGCCGTCTACGATTCTCTGGTCGGGCCGACGGCCAGCTCCATCTTGACCTTCCGGTCGATCTGCGAGAAGCTGTGGCCGCGGTTTGTGGCGCCCATCACGACAGGCGAGACTCCGCCGGGGGGCGTCGGGGAGTGGGATTTCACTCGGCTGCTGGTCAAGAATCGGGCCCTGTTCCGGCATCAGGGGGAAGGGGCGCTGGTGCATCACATCGTCACTGAGGAGGATGAGGCGGAACCGCCCGTCGCGAAGGGTACGACCGCCGTCTCCTCCACCAAAAGACCGAAATCCCTGTCTGCCGCATCGGCCCCATCGCCCCTGCCTTCCTTGCCGTACTTCCCCACCTTGATCCTGACCTCGGCCTACCTCGCCTCGCACACGCCGCAACGGCTGGATACGATCTTCTTCTCCAAGTTCTCGTCGTCCTCGCTGTCCGCGCGGAACAAGCGCGCGCATCACCGGCGGCGGCTGAAGCTGCTCTCGCGGGCTCAGCTGGAGGATGCTGCGTCGGCGGCGGCGGACCCGTCGACTCCCGGCAGCCGGAAGAAGGGCAAGCGCACCAAGACGAAGATCACCAAGTCGACGCTGGAGTCGGCCTTTGCGACCTCGTCCGCGACGACGTCGGCGGCCGGCGGCGGCGGCGGCATCACCGGCCCCTCGACCATCCTCACCGCACGCCCGTTCCCGCTGGAGCGGCTGGTCGCCATCTACCATGCCATCGACCCCAACCCCCCTGCCAATCCGATTCGCATGGCGGCCGTGTCCGACGCGATCTATGCCGAATTGGCTACGTTGCGGCGGCTACGGTTGGTGGTGCCTGCGGCGGGTCGGGAAGGTCGTGTGGGGATGGGGTCCGGTGGGTTGAGTAGCGGGAATACCACGTCCGATACGGGGGAGAAATGGTGTGTGAATGTTTCAGGGGACTGGATCGGGGAGTTGGCAAAGACGGTCGGCGTAGAGGTGGGCGAATGGTTGGCGGGAGGTCTGGATTAGGAGGGCCCTTCTTTTTTTCTGATGGGTTTTTTCTGGGTTGTTTGCTTTCTTTTACTTGCTTTGATTCATGTATTGTTCACACTCATATCCCAGGCATCATATAGGCGTTTGGTGCATAGATAGACCTTTATACAAAGGCCCACTTGGATTGTTTCCTTCTACCATATCCATTCATCGACTGTGGCTTGGGCGCAGACGAGTAGGCTTGGTGTCTGAGGCCCCTGAAATGGCGCATCGCCGGATTCAAAGCAGACGGAGGCGATGGGGTCTGCATACTGGTAGTTTGACAAGGGTGAAGTAACCTGTTCCCCGTTGCGCAGAGAAAACAGTTGAATCTTGCCCGTGTCGGTGGCTGAGCACACGGAGTTTAGCGTGGCGTTTTGCGAGGGACGAAAATGGTCCAGCGGGAATTGGATAGATGCACGTACCGCTGGCTAGAAGCCCAAGCTCCAAACTGATGTCGAAGTCTGGTATGACTTGGGGCTTGAAGTCTTGGAAAGTGAGATAGGGTCGCGTGGAAGTATGCTTCTTGCTGGTCGGTTGCGGTTTCGGTTGAAGCCCGTTGGGCGGAAAGCGGATATCGTACATCTGGAGCTGAGCTAGAGTCAGCTTCATCCTTGTCAAAGAGAAATCAAATGTTCCTTACAGAGTTCATCCCTGCAACGACCATTCGGTAAGGGTCCACTCTGCGAATCTTTGTGACGGCATGTGGATGTTGGAGTCGTGTCGCTGTTCCCCCGCTCCGGAGGTCATGCAGGAAAACAGAGGAGTCCTTGAGACCGGCCGCGATCACATCCGAGGACAACCATTCGACGCTGGTGACGAGGGCATGGGAAGTACCAATGCGTCGTTTGAGGATCGGCTTGCCCGCGTTCACATCGTCGGAGAACGGCTTTTTCGACAAGGCCCAGTACGCTCCGTATCCTTGTAGAGTATACAAGCCATCAGATGCCCCAACAGCAAATAGCGGGTGGTCTCCCACTGGACAAGCCGAAGAACACCACAAAGACGCTGCTGTGCGAATGCGTATTGGTTGAAGGACTATATCGAGACGTATCAGTCATCCAAGTTCTTCACACAGTGAAGGGGTCACATACAGGATGGCGGCCATCGGTAGTCGCCGCCTTCATCTGGGTCTGGCAACATTCGAGGTGCCAGAAACGAGTCGCCCTGGGGACCGCTGTCCATCGTTGAACTGGTCTGGTCAATCTCCTGGCCGGATGCAGGGGTGGACGAGACCTCGTTCTTACAGCAGGTATCCTGTGTGACTCAATGAGATGGACGAAAGCTAAAGAAAAGCCCGCATTAGCGTTGAAACCGACAAGCAACAAGTTGGGGATCGTGGCTAAGCTGTTTACCCTATACGGTTCCTTGAATAGAACACGTTCCATGGTCCGATTGTAAGTCCATTTGTTCTGGTCGCAATCCGGGAAGCACACCCTTGGACGGCTGTTAGCTTGCCGGATACACGACCTCAAAGGACCGGAGAAGGCGCTTACGACACGGACGATTCACCGCCGCGATGACCACCTGGGCGTTCGTTAGTGATTATTCCCACTGCGGTCTTCGCGGACTTCTCTTTAGTATGATAGATAGTACTTACTAGCAATCAAGATCCCCGAGCGCTTGTTGCGCAGCACGTGCTTGATGCTATACTCATCTGGCCAGGCTTCGAATTGATGCAGCTGGTTCCTGCGAAGCTGGCTGGTGTAGGCACGCGCACTTCGCTCCCGTCTCACAGTGGTGGGCAAACGCAAGGCGCCGATCTCTCGTTGCACATCAAGAAGAGGGTGAGATAAAGATTGCGCCCTCTTTATCTTCTCCTTAGCCTCCCTCTTGATCTGCTGAACCTTTCGGCGACGTTCCTAGTCACAGCGTCAGCGAGATCATGCAAGTGATTCTGAGCCCCATTTTTTTCACAACCTCGTGGTCGGCGCGTTTGCGCTTGACCGAGTCTTTCGAGTATTGAGCCCCTGGAGCCGCCGCGTGGCTGGCCTGGATCTTGAAATACTTCTTCTTCTCCGGGTCTGGAGACTATGGTTAATAAGATTTGTTCGAAACACACAAATTACTGGGCGCTGGTCATTGTATATGTACCATAGTAGAACCCGGGGATCTCTCTCGCCATGACTGATGGCTAGAGAGGATTCAGATGTGCAGATTATGTGACGCAGAAGAGGTGTAATGAATAGCATGAAGGGTTGTTGTGTATCTTGGTAGTAGTAACTGTCACGATGCTAAAGTATATCTGCTTGGATCGCCGGCGGCGTCATGTGCCGCGCGTGCTCGAGCACTCAGCCCAATTTCTAGTCAGGCTGCTCGGGATGGAAGAATTTGATCAGAACACCGCGTCGACTTCCGTTGGCGGACTGCAAAAAAGCTTAAGTCATATATTTCATAAGATTGTAAAGCAGTAGCAGGTAAAAGAGGTCATAAATGAAGAAAATATGGTATGAATGCGACAAGACAACGGGGTGGATTTTCCACAGCGTTTAAGGTTAGGATGGATGGATGGATGACGTTCTGGTCGGTGTCCTCGATTACGTCAGTCATGCCCCTCGCTCATTGGCTGAGAGGCCAGTATATTCCTCTTTCCCTTTATGGCACTGAGTGAGTGCGACGGGAGTCTCTCCTTCTTTCCTTCCTTCCTTCCTTCCTTCCTTTCTCGCAATGGGTATTCTTTCATGGCTGGTGAAGCAATGCTTTGGAATCTCTAATGATGACCTCTATCTGCTTGTCACTCCGCTCCAGTGGACTCGGTTACCTCCAGCTAGAGGACAATCTTATCGTGCATACGATTCAAAGCATAACCTTAAAGGTCATTTATACCCTGCGCCCCCCTGGTCTTCTTAGCTATGCCTATCACGTTGAGACTGAGCCGATCGGCAATTGTCATGGAGAGCACCACCTCCCTCGACAAACCGACTACCCTCGATGTGAACAATGGTCTTGTCGAGGAGAAGCCAGACTCGACGGCACCCACCCAGGTAGCCATCGAAAATGACGAGGAGGACGAGAAAGACATTGATAGTCTCATTGAGGAGTTGCAATCTGTCGATGGCTTTGCCGATCTCAAACTTCTGGAATCGAACCACACAGGCGGTCGACACCCGGTATCAGATGAATTGCTCCACACAGACTCGAACACAGGCCTCAGTACGAACGAAGCACTTCTACGACGGAAAAAGTTCGGTCTCAATGAGATGAAGGAAGGGAAGGAGAACCTGATCTTCAAGTTCCTATGGTTCTTCGTTGGCCCCGTTCAATTTGTCATGGAAGTATGTGTCGCTCATTCATTCTCGTGAGAGATAGCTACTGACTGTCTACCGACGTGCAGGCGGCGGCGATTTTAGCTGCTTATCTTCATGATTGGGTCGACTTGGGCGTGATATGTGGTCTTCTCCTATTGAATGCGTCTGTGGGGTTCATACAGGAATATCAGGCGGGTTCCATCGTCGAAGAGCTGAAGAAGACTTTAGCACTGAAGGCTATAGTTCTGCGCGATAGTGTACTCTCTGAGCTCGATGCAGCCCAACTCGTCCCGGGTGACATTGTGAAGATAGACGAGGTACCTACCCTTGACTGTTTCTGCCAATGGCTTCTTGGCTAACGAGAGAAAGGGCACGATCGTTCCTGCGGATGGCCGCATTATGACCAACTCTGCTATACAAGTCGATCAGTCGTCAATCACTGGGGAGTCCCTGGCTGTCGATAAGCATTCGGGAGATACATGTTACGCGTCCTCCACTGTGAAACGAGGCCACGCCCGAATCCTCATTACCGCTACTGGCGATTCGACCTCTGTGGGGCATGCTGCAGCCTTGGTTAATGCCTCTGCCTCGGGAACAGGCCACTTCACCGAAGTCCTTCAGGGTATCAGCACCGTCTTACTTGTCCTTGTTGTTGTCACTCTTATCATCGTTTGGGTATCCTCCTTCTACCGTTCCAACAACACCACGACCATTCTCGAATTCACATTGGCCGTCACAATGATTGGGGTCCCGGTAGGCCTTCCCGCAGTTGTTACCACCACGATGGCAGTAGGAGCAGCATACCTGGCGAAGAAACGAGCGATTGTTCAACGGCTATCAGCTATTGAATCCCTTGCTGGCGTTGAGATACTCTGCTCAGACAAAACTGGCACCTTGACCAAGAACAAGCTGTCTTTGACAGAGCCCTTCACCGTTCCTGGTGTGGAAGCTGAAGATCTGATGCTAACGGCATGCCTCGCCGCATCTAGAAAGAAGAAAGGCATGGATGCAATAGACAGAGCATTTTTTCGAGCTTTATCCTCCTACCCGTGTGCAAAAGCAAAGCTCACAGAATACAAGGTGATTGAGTTCTCTCCGTTCGATCCAGTCTCGAAGAAAGTCAAAGCAGTGGTACAGTCTTCCGAAGGAGAGCGCATCACATGCGTGAAGGGATCTCCTTTATTTGTGCTTAGAACCGTCCAGCAAGATCACGCAATCCCCGAGGAGATCGAAACTGCATACAAGAACAAGGTCGCAGAGTTCGCGACTCGCGGTTTCCGCTCGCTTGGTGTGGCTCGGAAACGTGGTGATGGCGAATGGGAGATTTTGGGTATAATGCCATGCTCCGACCCTCCGCGACACGATACTACAAAGACTATTAGCGAGGCCCAGACTTTGGGGCTTTCAATCAAGATGCTCACAGGCGATGCGGTAGGAATTGCTCGCGAGACCTCGCGCCAGTTGGGACTAGGAACGAATGTGTACAATGCCGAGCGTCTTGGTCTTGGTGGAGGGGGGACAATGCCTGGCTCCGAGGTTTATGATTTTGTTGAAGCCGCAGATGGCTTTGCAGAAGTCTTCCCAGAGCACAAGTACAATGTCGTGGATATTCTGCAGCAGCGTGGATATCTCGTAGCCATGACGGGCGACGGTGTCAATGATGCCCCATCCCTGAAAAAAGCTGACACTGGAATTGCAGTCGAAGGATCCTCAGATGCCGCGCGATCTGCCGCTGACATTGTGTTCCTAGCTCCAGGATTGTCCGCTATCATTGATGCTGTGAAGACTTCCCGTCAAATCTTCCATCGCATGTACGCTTACGTGGTTTATCGTATAGCTCTCTCTTTGCATCTCGAGATTTTCCTAGGGCTCTGGATTGCCATCCGCAACGAGAGCCTTAACTTGCAACTGGTGGTGTTCATTGCAATTTTCGCCGACATTGCAACTTTGGCTATCGCCTACGACAAAGCCCCCTTCTCCAGTACACCAGTGAAATGGAATCTTCCCAAGTTGTGGGGAATGTCGGTCCTGCTTGGGATCGTCCTTGCCATCGGAACGTGGATCACCCTCACCACAATTTTGGCTTCTGGTGAGAATGGGGGCATCATGCAGAACTACGGCAAACGAGACGAGGTCTTGTTCTTGGAGATTTCATTGACTGAGAATTGGCTTATTTTCATCACTCGCGCTAACGGTGCTTTCTGGTCCTCTGGGTGGCCATCCTGGAAACTGATAGGGGCCATTGCAGCGGTGGACACCGTCGCTACATGCTTCTGTGCATTTGGCTGGTTCGTCGGCGGACAGACTTCGACCCCAACAATTATTCGGATCTGGATCTTCTCCTTTGGTATGTTCTGCATCATGGGAGGGTTGTACTATCTGCTCCAAGGCTCCAGGAGCTTCGATAATATCATGCACGGCAAAAGCCCCCGGAGCATGGACAAACAGCGCTCTCTTGAGGACTTCTGTATGTTCATACCCCATTTCCCGGTAGCGTTCCAACAAAGCTAACTGGCCCAGTGGTTGCCCTACAACGTGTGTCTTCTCAGCATGAGAAGAGCTCGTTGACCAGTATGGAGAATGGACAGGCTACCCGTGGCGTTTGATCATCCTTTAGCGTTAATGACATTCTGTACGGCTCGCTGGCGAAATCGGTATAGCTCAGGGTCGATGTGGTATCATGAGCACTCACCCTGAATATCTTGCTGTGCTTGTAAAAAGCTCATGTGTTTGCCGAATACGTTCTTTCTGTTGTACATCATAGGTGAAGTAAAGGCATGGTGTATCCCAATTATGAAACATTCATGAAGAATTATGATTGATGCGCAGAATCCCGACCTAAAGCGAGTCCTATCCTAACAACTTGAGTCTACCATGCTGCGCTCTAGGTTGTCAATCTACTTATTGGTGAAATCGAGAAGCAAATAGGTATTCCTAGATTACACGGTGACAATGATAGTAAAGGTAGATAATAGGGTAAGTCGTGAGGAAACAGGCTGGTCGGAGAGGGAGAATGCCACCGAGAAAGAAAGACGATGTACAGATACATAGCAGCAAGTATGCAAGGTGAAAGGGGGCGAAAGACGTAGAGACATGAAGAATAAAGAAAGAGGATGGGGAAGGTCTGGAAAAGTTATGATGACGTGATAGAGAGATAAGGAAAATTGACGTGTAGAGCGAATGGACGGCTAAGGACAAGAGAGTCGAGACTATGTGCACTGGGAGGGGGTTTCCATCATCGCGGAAATGTTGAGAGAGCGTTAAGCTTTAGAGGTCAGGTGATCGACAGCCTGTGCACACAAAGGTTTTGTTGTTAGCACAATTGAGTGGAAGTTAGTTCGCAATCGGCCATGACATACCTTGTCAATATTATAGTCGAACTGTTCGAGGGCAGCGAGTGATTCTTCGCGAGGGAATCCCATGTTGGTCAGACGTTGAAGGATCTGATCATCCTCGGTGCCGGTCTGAAGAGCCCATCCTGGTGGCTTGTTGGCTTGGGCAGAATCATTCGCAGTGTTGATGCCGTTGGCTCCGCTTGCTGATGCATTGGCATTGTCAAGAGGAGCGAAGAGCTCTTCCCAGTTGTGCGTCTGCGCCTGGGAATTTGTGTCAGGGTGAGACGCGGCGAAGCCCGGAGATGATGCGGTGGCATCCTTGTTGAAATCAAAGAAGTCTGACGAGGAGGCGGCAGCATTCTGTGACGTCTTCTGGGCCGGGTTATCGAAGGAGAAATCGAAGTCCATGTTATCCTTGTTCTCCACGGTCTCAAAGTCGTCATCGTCGTCCTCAGCCTCCTTGGCAGGAGCCAGGTCAAGCCCTGCAAATGCAGCCTCGAAATCAGGAGCATTGGGCTTAGTTTCCTGAGGGGCGGCCTTGGTTTCTTCATGGTAATCGCGCTGGGGCTCTCCCCCAACGATCGGGGCGCCCGTGCTTGTCTCCACTGAGTGAGGTGCATCAGCAGCAGTTGTCGGGTCCTCGCGGCGCGGCAATAGTCCGTTGAACTCGGGAGGTATACTCCCTGGCTCTTGCTTTCCTACGGTCTCTTCGTAGTTCGGGGGGCTGCGCTGAGCCTCTGCAGCAGGAGGCTCACTGGGAGTGGCGGCGGCGCCCGGCGAAGGGAAAGCTGCTGGTTGAGGTGTTTCGAGGGTATCAGGCTTAGGTTCTCCTCCTACCTGGCTCTGAGGGGGGAAGGCGGGGGCAAAATCGTCCTCAAAGCCTAGTGGTGCTTCGCTGTCTGAGCTTTCGTCCCCATCATCGAGTTCACGGATTGGGGGGAATTCAGACTGAGCGACGGGTGCTGCACCATTGGGCTTGCTGGGCCCGGGACCATTCTTCATAGCAGCAAAAGCCTCCTCGAAATCATTCTCCTTCTGGGACTGAGATCGTTTATGAGCTGGCCCGCCAAATAGCTCATCGAAGCTAAGGTCCTTCTTTTCTGTATGATTCTCGGCAGACGTGGCTGAATCGCCACTCGCGGGAGTATGATCAGCGACATCAGGCACTTCAGGAAAGCGTTCCTTCGGCTCGTCAAGCTCGTCGAAGGGCGAAGCCACGGCCTTGATGTGCTCTGTTGGGGTGGAGGCCGCTGCTTCACTGGCCGTGTCTGGACCACCAAACCTGCTACCAGGTGGCGAGACTCGGGTGGAAGAGGTAACCGAATGATCTTCGCCGAATGGTAGCACATTTGGTGTGAGTTGCCTCGATTGCGAAAGCGTAGGTGGCTCGAACGTAGTAGCACCACCAATAGAAGGGGGTGGAGACACTGAGGGGGTCGGAATGCCCGAGGTCGGCTGCGACTCAGCCCGGAAAGAGACGGGCGGGGGAGGAGTGGCAGCCGTGGCAGGAGATACGAAGGAGGTACCAAAGAGGCTGTCGAAAGCACGCTGCTGATCATTCGAGATCTGGGGTGACAGCGCGTTGTTGTCGCTGGAACCAGTGGCTGTGCGCTTGAAGAACGGGTTGGTGTTCTGACTTGCTGTTGATTCAGCGGGGCTTGTAACGGCGGCAGCCTCACTTGCGACGGCAGCAGCCTCCTCGGGTTCTCTGGACTGCTCCTGTGAAAGAGTGTCAATTTCCTCTTTGATCTTATCTCTCTCGCCTTCCACAGTTGCGAGCTGCTTCTTGTTGATCGCTACAAGACCTTTCTGCTGACGGGCACTCGAGCGTGCCTTGTCTAGGGCAGGCTTGAGCTGAGAAACCGCAGCATTGGCTTCACGAATCTTCTCCTTCAAGTTTGCATTCTCTTGCTGGTCAGCAGCCAGGGCAGCCGATACCTGATTGTATTGATTTTGCAGATCCTGCCGGCTGCCCTCTAGAAGAGCATACTCCTGTTGCAATTTGTTTGTTTCGGCTCTTGAGGCATTCAACCGCTCCTCAAGAGCTTTGAAGTTCTTCACCTCCTGCTCATACATTGTCCTAGCCTGCGCAAGGCGAGCCTCAAAGTCACGCTTCTGCTGGGAGGTTTGGGACAGGTCACGCTCGGCTGAAGTTCGCTTCGACTGAACATTCTGCATCTCATTGGCGAGAGAACCAATCTGGTTAGACAGGTTGGCGAGCTCTGTAGTCTCCTGTGTCAACTTTTTGGACTCCTCAGGATCATTGTCGCCCAACAGGTCATCGGCAGGCGGCGGTGGTGGTGACCGGATAGTTGGCGGTGCACCGGCGGAGGCACCAGTCATCTGTGGCTGCAAGCTTTGGCCAAACGTGGACGTGGGCACAAATGGCTTGAACGTTGACGAAGCTGTTGGCGGGGAAGTTCGGGATCCGGGAGAGCTCGGTGTCTGGAAAGCTGCGTTCGAGCCGCCCGTGGACTGCGGCACCTGCGAAGGGGCAATAGGAGGTGCAGGTGCTGTGAAAGCGTCCAGACCAAACAAGTCATCCGCTGCCGACTTAGGAACAGGGGCGGGAGCTGGTGCAGGGACTGGTGCGGGAGCAGCAACTGGTGGAGCGATGTGAGCAGATCCAGGGCGACGCATGCTGGGAGGAATCAAAGCCGGGGGCAAGGCCTGCGGCAATGGGTTCTTTCCAGTCCGCTGTTGCCGAACCAGATACATGGCTACGGCAAACTCATCCTTCGTCAAACGCCCGTCGGCATCGATATCTGCCAGATCCCAGATTTGGGCAAGGGTCTCCTCTGGCAGTTGTGCCCCCATGAAGAACGCAACGGCCTGGTCACCACTTACGGACCCTACCTTGGCGGTGTCAACAGTCGCAAAGATATTGTCAAACATTGCTTTTTCTTGGGGCGAGACCAGCCAGTCCCCGCCAGTGGACTGAGGAGCCAAAGGCGATCCGAAGGGCCGATTGATCGGGCTCTGAGTCCGCTGCGGCCCAGTGAACTGTTTTGGAATAGCAGGAACAGGGGGAGCATCCAAGCCCTGACGTGAGCCAACCGATGAACGGATCGACCCTCTTCGTGAAGCTGCATCATACAGGCCCGGAGGCAAAGTTTGCGGGATTCCCCTCATTGCGCCTGATTTGTACGACGTGAGAAGATGCATCGCGATGACGAACTCCGTCGCATCAAGCACGCCCTGTTGCCTTACATCTGCTAGGTTCCAGATGCGGCCGAGGATTTCGTTCGGCAACCGTGCACGCTCGAAGATCTGCTTAGCAGTTTCCCCTGTAGATTGCGCCATTGTATGAGCCAAACATGTCCAAGCCCATCGAGCCCTGTCTCAAACGGAAAGGGGGGTATTATCCGTACCTGAAAGGACACCAGTCTTAGCAACGTCTGATTTATCGAACAGCGATAGGAATTTATTCACGTCCTCGGGGTTCAACGGAGGGACACGAATAGGACCGCCTGCTGCGGGAGTCGGGCTGGTGGTGCCTGCCTCGCGCGGAGTAGGTGGGCCAGGGGCGGCGGCATCAACGGAGATGCCATCGAATTGTGGCAGGGGACCGGCTAGAAGAGTATGATTTCTGTCAGTACTTGTTGATAGATGAAGGGCGCAGGGCGCTTCCGAGAGCACTCACGTTGGTAAGCCAGTTCCTCTGTCGGTGCGCGACCCGCTTGTGCGTGTCCAATCAAGCGGAGAACGACGCCAAATCCGGAAGGGGTCAAAAGACCCCTGTTCTCCTTGTCCGCGATCTGCCATATCTATAGTTCGAAGGGAGGTCTGCATTAGCGAAGGGGCAATTGCGGGCAGGGCAGGCGACAGGAGGCGGATCGTAAGTAGGCATCGACATACCAAGCCGAGGGTTTCCGGAGCCAATTGGGTCTTTTCAAAGAAAGGCACGGCAACCTCGCCAGTGATGACGCCCAGGTTGGTGGTATCAGCGGCCTGGAAGAGCTGGTAGAAGACTCGCTTTTCTTCGGGGGTCAAATTGAGATTGGGGTGTCGTGCTGCTGGTGACCCGTCAGTTCCGCTGCAACATTAGGGTCATGCCGACCGGGTTGGGCCGTCATCTCCTGAGAGCTCCGGGGGGGAGGGCAGCTGGCCAGCCATTAGAACTGGGGGAAGAAGCAACTCACCGTTGTCAGCCATGATGGGTATAGCTCAGGAGGAGCGAGCCTCCTTTCTGAGATATTCCAACACAATGCGCCACAAGAGGGAGCGGAGAATAAAACGGAGGGGGACGGGCTGGCACAAAAAAAGTGAGAGACAGTGAAGAGAAGGTGGTCAAGTTAGCTGGGAGAGGGACTACCGACGGGGCCTGGATGGCCAAGGCGGTAGCAGCTTCGAGCTAAAAGGGGTGGAAGCAATGGCGATACCCCAGGTTGCAACACAGGGGGGAATAATGAGCAGAGATTAGATTAAGTCAAGTCTTATGGGTGAAGTTGAGACAAGAGGGGGAGAAGGAGGAAAGGTAGTGGTGGAGGGGGAAGAGGAAAGAGGGAGGTTGTCGCGAGCTGCGTAATTACCTTCAACTACGTACTACGTAGTACTCCTACTGCTACTGCTGCTACTGCTGCTACTGCTGCTACTGCATGTACCTGGAAAGCTGACAGGCGAGAGTGAGAGGAAGAGGGGAGGGGGGAAGAACTGCCGCTGGCCAGTAGCTTGGCCCGTGCAGGCGGGCGGTCAGTCGGCAGCCCTCTCCGACGTCAGTCCAGTCCCTGTCGGTCGGTTACTAGGTTAGTAGCAAGATGCACACTACTATTCAATACCACCAGCCTCTCAATAGGCTGGTCTCTGCTTCTGAAAGCCTTGATATGATGTGTCATTCCTAATGTCTCCATTCTCTGTAGTATCCGGGGAAGCACTGATTACATTCACACTACAACCTCGAGACAACCCAAAGAAGGCATCCTACAGGGTTTAATACCAGCACAGTTTGAAACCACACTTTTCAAGAATCTCCTGCGGATAACTAGAAGAAATAACCCTTTACCCCTTGTCAACTGCAATTCAGAACCATGGACTTTGGTTTTAGAACGAGGCGAACGTTATATTACAATCTTGCTGGCTTGCACGGGAACGAGCGGGTAAATTTCATCGCTGCTTCAGGGATATTAAAAATATATCAGACAAAAGAAAACATAGTCTGTACTAAGCCAATCTCGTCTCTCCTATTGTATCTGTACGCACAGCCAGAGTCCCGCCGCTCGTCGGGTCTTCCCCGGGCCAAAGTCTGTCCCCAACGGATCACCGCGGAAACAATCAGGGCCAGCCCTGGCATCCAAGCAGACTGCCCCGTCGGACCATCCTCGGGGCTCCGGCCGAGGAAAGTGTCGTCAGACTTAGTACTCAGCCTCAACCTCCTCCTCCAGAGAGTCGCTGGCGACCTCCTCGTAATCGCGCTCGAGGGCAGCGAGGTCCTCACGGGCCTCGGAGAACTCACCCTCCTCCATACCCTCACCAACGTACCAGTGGACGAAGGCACGCTTGGAGTACATGAGGTCGAACTTGTGGTCGAGAGCGGACCAGGCCTCGGAGATGGCGGTGGTGTTGGACAGCATGCAGCTAAACAAGGAACAATCAGCAAAATGGGCTTCGTAGACACGAGGCAGGAATCGACTTACACAGCGCGCTTGAGGGGAGCGAGGTCGCCGTTGGGGACCTGCTGGGGAGGCTGGTAGCAGATACCGATCTTGAAACCAGTAGGGCACCAGTCGACGAACTGGATGGTGCGCTTGGTCTTGAGAGTGGCAACAGCGGCGTGGGTCTCCTTGGGCACAACATCACCACGGTAGAGCAAGCAGGTGGCCATGTACTTGCCGTTGCGGGGGTCACACTTGACCATCTGGTTGTTGGGCTCGAAGCAAGACATGGTGATCTCGTTGACCGAGTTGGACTCGTGGGAAGCCTTGTCAACGGAGATGACGGGGGCGTAGGCGACGAGAGGGAAGTGGATACGAGGGTAGGGGACCAGGTTGGTCTGGAACTCGTTCAGGTCGACGTTGAGGGAACCATCGAAACGCAGGGAAGCGGTGATGGAGGAGACAACCTGGGCGATCAGGCGGTTGAGGTTCTCGTAGCTGGGGCGCTCAATGCCGAGGTTACGGCGGCAGATATCGTAGATAGCCTCGTTGTCGACCATGAAGCTGCAGTCGGAGTGCTCGAGGGTGGTGTGGGTGGTAAGGATGGAGTTGTAGGGCTCAACAACCGAGGTGGCGTTCTGGGGAGCAGGGTACACGCAGAACTCGAGCTTGGACTTCTTGCCGTAGTCAACGGACAGGCGCTCCATGAGGAGAGCACCGAAACCGGAACCGGTACCACCACCGAAGGAGTGGAAGACCAGGAAGCCCTGGAGACCAGCACAGTTGTCGGCCACGCGGCGGACCTTGTCGAGGACCTGGTCGATCATCTCCTTACCGACGGTGTAGTGACCACGGGCGTAGTTGTTGGAAGCATCCTCCTTGCCAGTGATCATGTTCTCGGGGTGGAAGAGACTGCGGTAGGTACCAGTGCGGACCTCGTCGACGACATTGGGCTCGAGATCGGCGTAGATGGTGCGAGGCACATACTTGCCCTGGCCTGATTGCCACAACCTGTTAGTGCACACGAGGAGCAAGATAGCGATGTTGGGAGAAAAGCGTACCAGTCTCGGAGAAGAAAGTGCTGAAGCCGTGGTCGGGCTCAGCCTGCTTGCGCTCCTCGGTCAGGTAACCATCGGCCTAGTGGCGAAAAAAAGCAGCTTGTCAGTAAAGTTCATCTCCAGAAGTGATGGGATCACGCGAAATCCGATCGTGACCGACGTGTTTTTGATTGACTTCACGTACCTGGATACCGTGCTCAAGGCAGTACAACTAGATGGTCAATACAGTCAGTCCAGCTGTCCTTTTTTTGGCTTCTGAACACCCAATGTGTCTTTGTTGAAGAGTTTCCATCAGGGTCGACGAGGGAAGAGAAGAAGAGGGGTCAATCTCTTCGAATGTGTAGCATACCTCCCAGCAGGAGTTGGCGATCTGGCAACCAGCCTGACCGACTGTGAGGGGAGAACCAAAACATTAGTCAAACACGCCAGGCAGATCCCCCAAGCGAGATGAAGGGCGGGGGAGCGGGTGAAATGGGAGGAAGGGCACATACCGTTCAAACTAATAACTTCTCTCATTTTGTCGAGTTGAATTGAAGGGTTTCAGATGGCGGGAGGAGGGATAAGAGAGGTGGGTGTGGAATGTGGACAGAGGGAAAAATTAAAATACCCAAGGACGACGATCTGTACGGACGTTTCAGGGGTTCGAGAGTCAGCACCTAAAAGGGCCACACCACCAGAGGCAAGAGGTGGAAAATACAAGTTTGTGGGGGGGGAGAATTTAGGAAAGGAGGGAGAGAGGGAAAAGGGAGAAGGAGTTTAAGGGATGAGGGGGGGAAGGGGGGAGGAACGACTAGCTAACCCTGGGGAAAGAGCACTCACAGGCTATCACGAAGGCTGAATTATGGTCAAAGAGGATGGATTGCCCAAAGAGACCCAGATTGATCGGTCGACTCGATTTGTTGTGGTCTTTGAATGCGCTGTCAACCCAACACACCAGTCGGCGTGGTTCTTCCGTCCGTTGGGTCGCGTTGCCATTGGGAGCTGCTGATTGGCTACTGCCATCCCGTGACCACCTAGCGGTCAGCTAGATGAGTCAGCGCCGGCGTCGTGTCACGTGATGGTGTGACGGCATGGTCGATCCCAGCATCGTCGAACTGGACGGTTCGCGATGACGAGGATCGCCAATGGGCATCTTGGAGTCCATTAGCGAAGAGCACCTCCTTTCACCTCCTCTCGCCCAGGATGACATGGGTTCTACTCTAATATCATACTCTCTCACTCTCCGCATATCCCACAATCGCTCTATAAACACCCATCAAGCCTGTCCATCAATTACAGCTCCCGCGCAGCTCCAGAAGCAGTAGCTCTGTATGTATGTATGCCAGCAGTGCATGCACCTCAGTTCCACTTCCTCAACCCTCTACCAGAAACTGACCTCTGTAGACTACTAATCTAGTGTCACCACCCTTCCCAGCTCCATAATGCTGCGCATATAAGAAAAGAAAATCAAAAGAAATCACCACAAAAGCCACCACCGCAATGCACCACCACCACCTCCTCATCCTCCTCCTCACCACCCTCCTCCTCCTCACCCGGCGCACGAGCGCCAACGTCGAAAAGACCATCTTCCTCGGCCCCTCCCCCTCCCTGATTCCAACTCTCACGCCTCCCATCGACGACTTGGGCCTCCCACGCTTATCCCCCTCGTACTTCCACCACCGCACAAAGCTCAATGCCTCCTTCCCCAGCCCCGACTCCGCCGGCACAGACTCATGGTTCTTCCTCGAGCATCTGATCCCCGGTAAACGCTATGAAGTACGCATATGCTGGCTAGCCACTGTACGTCTTTCCCTTCCCAGAATTCTCCCCCAAGCCAACGCAAAAAAAAAAAAAAAAAAATCCCGCAACAGCATCACTAATCACCCGGCCCCAAAAACAGCAACCAACCTCCTTCCACCTAACAACCTACACCCTCCCGCACGCCCTCGAAACCCCGGACCTCCTCGGCGCAATAACCACCTACTCGACCGCCCGCCTCGCCCACCAGCAACACCTGGACGACAATGGCCTCGCCCTCCTCTCCGATCTAGACAAACAGGTCCGGTACAGCCAGAAGAAAAAGCCCGCCAGCCCCAAAGGAAGGCACAGCGGCGGGATCGGGATGCTCAGCCCACATTCGCGAATCACGACGGCCAGCAGCAGTCCCGTCGAGGATACGGCCCCGGTCGCGGACTCAGTGCTGTTCCTGCGAGTGCGCGCCGCGGCGGATTACTACTCCACCGATCCGGAGCTCATGGAGACCGTGCCCCCCGTCGTGGTGGATGTGATCCTGGATCCGTATCTGGGCAATGTGTTTCCGCGCAGCTTGGTCCCGACCGCCGGGTGGGTGGTGGTTGTGGCTGGGGTCGCGGTCTTCGTGGGCCGGTGGGTGGTTGCGGAGCTGGGGCGGGTCGTGGATTCGATCGCTTCGGAGGAGCAGGAGCAGGAGCAGGAAGGAGAGATTGGTGGTGAGAGGGAGGCGAAGAAGATACAGTAATCTCTCGCTTCTGATTTAATATAGTCCGGTTTCAATTATGTGTAAATATATTGATTATGATTCAGTACGACAGCGTCAACTGCGTGACTTGGGAAATGTATAATATAATTGGACGTGTATTGGGAAAAGGCTTGGAATTACATTCATGGTTGTGGGCAGCAAGCACCAGGCAAACATAATAACATTAAGATCATTCAATCATGGCATGTGAGCGTCTATTATCACAACACAATTATGTATCATCAGCTAGATCGAAACGAAAGACGACATCAGGGGGTAGATCGAGCAATCAAGTACCAAAACAAGAGGGGGAATAGTGAAAAGGCAGCAGCAGCAGTAATAACAACCCATAACTGACAAACCATCTTCGAAGGCAGTAAGGAAAAGCAAAGCATCCTCTAATAGGTACATCTGCTTATACCTTGTAGTAAAGATAGCTTTTCTCTAGAGAAACTCTAATCTTCAAAGAAATGAAGCACGGCCCGCATACCCTTGGTGCCCATGCCATGCGGGGGATAGGCGATGTAAAGCGGATCGTCCGTAGCACCCAGCTTGGCTCGGAACTCGCTCTTGCGGACCAAGCCGAATTGCTTGGCGATCGTGTCGTAGGTGTGCTGCAACATCTTGATCTTGGGGCCCTTCAAGTTGTGTCCTGGTGTGAGCGTGGACATTGCGCCAGCACCGAACGTCAGAGACTTGACACCGGCAGCAGCCGCCGTCTGGATCGCCTGGGTGACAATATACTCGATGACTCCGTTGGGTGCGCCCGGGAAATCAAAGCTATACTTGATCTGCATGCCGTGCACAGGCGCCAGGGTGGCCAGTGCCACGAAGGCGCAAATAGTGCCCGACTTGTCGACAGCATAGAAATACCAGCGGTGCTCAGGATCGCGCCATGGACGAATTTCAGACAAGTGCACCTGGGTGCCCTTGCGGTTGTTCAGCCAGTCTTGAATGCGCTGGTCGATCTTCTCGCGCACCTCATCCGACACCATTTCTCCATTCTTGAGGGCCACCACCTTGACCTCTTCGTTCTCTGCACGGCGAATCTTGCGGGCAATCTCGCCATCCGTGGCGGCCATATTGCGCGAGGGATCGACACGCTCCTCGGCAATGCAAGACAAAGTGCGCCAGCCGAGACGTTCACCAAGCACGTCTTCAACCTCAGCTGAGCATAGAAGCCAGACAGGCTTGTACTTGGTCTCGCGCCGCAGCCACTGCAGGAATTGGATGATCACTTGACGGTATTGCCGGGTGTCGCAGAGAGGGTTGCCGGGAATTACCACATAATTGCTCGTGCTTACAACGTAGGCAATGGCGGCTCCGGTACCCATGTCACGCCAGATCTTGAAACGTTCGTCGCCCCAAGAAGTGGAGGTAGCGTCACCGTAGTTGGCGATAAGGTGCTCGATGGGTTGCAGCTCGCTTTCGTTCTCCGCCACACTGCCCTTCTTGTCGCGCACCCACGGAGGTTCAATGGTGGACGATTCGGGATGACGCAATTGCATCACCGGGGGCTTCGCGGGGAAGCTACGGGGATCACGATGGAAGAGGGAAGCCAGGCGAATGTTGCCCAGTTTCAGCAAGAGCATCAGCAAGCGCTCAAGACCGACACCAGCACCCGCGTGAGGGGGGGCTCCCCAGCGGAAGCCTTCCATGTATTCCTCCATGGTGTCTGGCTGAATGCCCACGCGCTTCATGTTCTCCTCCAGCATGTGTGGATCGTGGATACGCTGGCCACCAGAGACAATTTCCTGGCCACGAATGAAGATATCGAAGGAGTTGGTGAACCGGCTGTCCTCCGGGTCGGGCATAGTATAGAAAGGACGAGCATTGACGGGGAACTTGTCAAGGATGTAGTAGTCGGTACCATACTTCTCCTTCACGAGCTCGCCCAGACGAATTTCATCGCGGGTACTCAGATCCTCGTCCTCAGGCAATGGGTTGCCGTCTTCGTCCCGCCAGCCCGAGTCGTTCAGCATCTTGATGCCGTCAGAGAATCGGAGGATTGGGGTCTTCTCCAGCCAGACAACATCTTCAGAGGGGAATTGGTGCTTGATGGTGTCAACTTCGCGCCGGAAGCGGCGGTAGACACCTTCCAGAATGTTCTTGATAACCGAGTCCAAAACCTCGAGCATCTCATGGTAGTGCTCCTCAATAGCCATCTCGATATCCAGGCCCGTGTATTCAGTCAGGTGGCGGTGAGTGTTCGAATTCTCCGCACGGAAGACGGCACCGATCTCATAGACTCGGCCAAAGTCAGCCGCGATGGCCATTTGCTTAGCCAATTGCGGACTCTGAGCCAGGAAAGCATCCCGACCAAAGTATTGAACATGAAAGACACTGGCGCCAGACTCCGTGGCGGAACCTTGCAACTTGGGGGTGTGGATCTCAATGAAATTCTGTTCGTCAAGTGCGGTACGGAAGAGGTTTCCGATAGCGGACTGGATTCGGAAAATGGATTGAGAGGTGGGAGTGCGCAAGTCAAGCAGACGGTTAACGAGACGAGTTCTATCAGGAATGCGACTGCGTCGGCCCTCAACACGTTCTTCCTCGGCTGTCTGGATTTCGGCCTCGTAAACACTGAAGGGGACGGGCTCCTCGCGACGAACAACGAGATGCAGCTCCTTGATAGCAACTTCAACATCATGGATGGTGCAGCCCAAGACGGGGACCTGAGGCGCCTGAACAACGCCCCGAACCCTAACAATGCTGCCCAAGCGAAGATGTTCGGCCCAATGAACCATTGCTAGGGAGACCACGCCTGGTTCATCATGCAGGACGCCCTGGAAGGTGAACAACTGCTGGCGGAAGACCAAGAAGACCAACTTGGCGCTCATGCGACGGATGATGTGCAGGCGGGCCGTGAAGTAGACTTCCTGGCCAACCAGAGAGGTAGAAATGTCCGTGAAATTAGTACGTAGCTCATGAGTCCGGGTTCGGGACTGCATGAGGGGTAATTCGCCGTAGCGAGCCTTCATCTCAGCGGTCTCTTCGCGAGCGGCTGTAGCAATCTCCTCCTTGTGACGCATATCCGAATCCTCTGAGTGGCGATCCTCACTGAGGCGCGAACTTTCCTTGCGTTGCTTCCGAGCCAGACGCTTCTGTTGGTTCTTGCTCATTCCCCCGGTGGCAGAGGAATCGTCCGAAACATCATCGGAGGAGGAAACATAGTCGCGATCGCGCAGGATGTTGCTGAAGATGCTGCGACGCGGGGAGAGGGACACGGAGGGGCTACTGTGGCCATCCTCTGAAGTGGACGTTCTGGAAGTTTTAATCTTCGAAAGAGCACGTTTGATAGACATGGTGAGGGGTGGTTCTCCCAAGTGGGAGGAGTGGAGGGGGGGTAGTTTTAGTGTTATGGATGTGATGATGGGAAGAGGAAGTAAGACGAAGAGGAGGAGGGGAAGAGTAAGAGAGGGAAGATAAGGGTACTTAATTAATAAGACTAGAGAACTAGAGAATTAAGCAGAAGGAGGGGCTGGGCAAACAAGAGAGGAGGGAGGGGAGAGGAGAAGGATGCAGTGAGCGTTTTAATACGAAGAGGGAAGAAATCGGGCCCAACCAGGGTCCAGATGCTTACTAGGTTTATTAATTCTCAAGTAAGTTCAATTCGAAGGGAACCACGGGTGGAGCAGGATTCAAGCAAACAAGCAAGAAAGCTATACGTAGTAGCAGAAAAGAAAATAAGCAAAAGACAAGAAAAAAAAAGGAGGGAGCACAAGCCACGAATGGAAGATCAGTGTTTCAACAAGGTTGACTGTGTTGCGTGGGATGGAAGGAAAAGTTGCGGGAAACCGCAGAGACCGAGGCCGGCGGCAAGCCATGATGTCATGTGAGAATGATGAAAGAGTGTTGTCGGAACGGCGATTTCTTTCCCTTTTCTCTCTCAATTCTCTGGTCTTTCAGCCCTAAGCAACAACCACTCCCCTTGTCAAAACCGGAATCTTGAGGAACTATGATGTGATCCAAGACTTTGGGTTTGGCCTTTGGCTTCGTCTTCGTCTTCGTCTTCGTCGCATTACTTCACTCCTTGAATGCTTGTCTATCAATCAATCGACGGATACTCCGTATACTACTCCGTACTTACTGTAAAGTAGTATTATTATTGTACTGTACTTCCCCGCTGCCAATCCTGCATTAGACGCCCCATGCTTGGCATTAACTGATCACCATTCCATCCTTCCCATCTCACCTCATCCTCCATTCTCATTATCCCTCTCTCTCTCCGGCACTCTCTACCTCTCATCCAGTTTCTCGCTGGGGATAATACTGGATCCATCTTCTTCCCCATAACCATAACATAACCTTATTCTTCCCGTGCATGCTTGAATCGTCACCTGCCCAATCAATCATGGCTCACTCGTCCCGCTGGTGGTTGTATGTCCAGGCCACCTTCTGGCGGTTCCTTATGCGCATTGGCATGTTTATCCACGATGTCCTACCCCCACGTCCCTCTCGACCAACTTTTCGCCGTTCCTTTCCCTCCTCTGAATCCGACTCGCATTCCGCGCGGATCCATCTCCATTTCTATTGCCCAAAGGACTACCAGGTCGCTAAAAAAGAAGGCCGCCGGCTTCCGGTTGTCGTCAACTTCCACGGCGGCGGGTTCACCCTCGGCCACGCCACCGACGACAGCCGCTGGGCGCAATGCATCTTGTCGGAAGTCGGCGCCGTCGTTGTGAGCGTGGGCTATCGCCGAGCCCCCGAACATCCGTTTCCCGCGGCCGTGGATGACGGGGTGCGCGCACTGCAGTATCTCGCCGCCCACGCCACGGAGCTGAGTCTAGATGTCTCCCGGATCGCCCTCAGCGGCTTCTCGGCTGGCGGCAATTTAGCGGTAACCGTTCCGCTCCGTCTCCGGGGCCTGCTAAGCCAACAGAACTCCAACAACTCCACGTTGTCGCATGTGATTCACACCGACTCCTCCCAACATCTCGTCCAATCCCCTTCCAATGAGCTCAACATCGTCGCCCTCTTCTGCTGGTATCCCATCCTCGACTTCGAGGAGTCCCGCGATCACCGCCGCGCCATGAGTCTCATGCCCAGCAAGACCCTCCCCGCTTTCTTCACCGATCTCTTCGATGAATCCTACCTCCCCGACCACGCCGACCGCCGCTCGCCCTACGCCTCGCCCGTGCGCGCCTCGGACGAGATCCTCGGCGACGCGTTGCCGCACGACATCTTCCTCTACATCTGCGAGTGGGACATGCTGCTCAAGGAGGGTCAGGTGTTCGTGCGCCGCCTGCAGAAGATCCAGAAGCACGTGCGCGCCATGATGATCGAGAAGGTTCAGCACGGATGGGATAAGTCGCCCAATCCATTCCGGGATCAGGTCCGGGTGGATATCCTCTATCAGGAGGCTTGTGCCGCCATGAAGCGTATTTTTGAATCGTAAGAAACAAAAGAAGAGTAGAGCAACCCACCCAAAAGAAAATGGGTTGTATCCGTATACTTACACGCATGCGCATACACAACAGCTGAGTGCAAGACCGAGACTTTGTTTCCTTTTCGAGCGATGAGCGGGTTTGTCTATTCTTGAAGCGGTTTATTCTTCTTGGTGGGGGGCATCTGTGATTTGCGATGGTTGGAAACGGCGTCATTACTTCGTGGGCATTGTTATTTGTATATATGTATACTCGCTGCTTTTTACATCCTTGTACTGCTGGAATGCAGTGTACAGACATGATCTACCGGTTTCTTGCATATGAATGATCTCGCCATGGGAAAATTTAGAACGGGCGGGAAATAGTCCCGTACCTCGGATATATAGACCCCTGTTTGCCCGCCTGCTGACTACCACAACATAGCTGTACTAGAACCGGTCTACCTCCCCCCTATACAAGGGCAACCCAGAAGACTCGGTATTCTTGAACCTCTATATCCATGATCATGTCGAGTGCAACCAAAACTAGGGTGATCCGAAGCTTAGCGCGGGCCCTGGGAACTCCATCGACCTCAAGTGCCTGGTTGTAGGCATATGAGCACTCAGTAGGGCAGCAGACCTGCCTATCTCCAATTGGAGTGTTGATGCGATAGTTGAAATTTTTGGGCGGGGTCGGAGGGGTAGTGGCATAGTGAAGGGGTATCACTCATTAGCTGCCTTGCTCGACTCTTTTTACCTCCTGCCTTCCTTCCTGCCTCCCCTCTCCCTCCCCCTTGCCATCGGTGTCAAGCGTCAATGCTTTTGACTTTCGTCCAGATCCGATTTCGGCAATTGCCCCCTCCATCTGTTTACCTCTCTGTCGTGACATCCGAAACCCCTCGAGATCAAGAGCAGAACGACAACTACATCTCATGGTGTAGAGGTGTGGTGAAATGACAGAAGTCATGAGCCACCATATCCTCTTGTCATGTCATCAAAGATCTCATTTCCGATCTCGTCACGTCCGAAAGCTTTCAACCTGGAGATATTGACTTTATGCTATCGTATACGTTCACATCGGCAGACAATGGCCATGCTCCAAGAATTCTGACTGACTGGAACATCTACCTCGCGGTGAGACAACGCTCGGGACAGTCTCGATCTCCAAGAGGAAGGGGGATAGGAAGGCTTTATGCCTCAAGTCCATCCCAAGCTTGCAGCCTGCTTGTTCTCTGACATTCGGAGTCACGCCACAACACTCAATAGACCGAGCCAAACGTTCGCTGTTCTATCTCTATCGTCAAGTCCCACCTCGAACTCTACGCTGACTATATATCACCTTATGATAAGGCTGTTCGCCGCCCATCACTCAGCCTAGACCCATTTCAGCTAAGAAGGGTGAGACAGAACATAACGGGGAAAGAAGGACAATTGAGCGAACAGCAATTCCACTCATGTCCAACCGCCCTATTCAACCTACGGACTCATCAAGTTCGATGAAAGCAGCTGCGCAGGGCCAACTAGGGGATCCAGTCTGGCACGGTTGGCTACTACCTCGGTCTCCATCAGCTGTTCATGATGAGGAACGGATTCGTGGAAACTATAGAGCTTATGATCAACAGCACAACTGCCAGATATCTAATACGTATGAGGACCCAACCAATCCTGTTTCGAGGGTTGGTTCTGAGATAAATATCCTGGGATTCGTGCATAAGACAGACCTCTTTAAGAAAGCTTACGGCGTATTTTCCGCGGCTACAACTCACAAGGTATGGCTCTTCACTCCGCACAGCACACAGGGACCATCTTAAATCGCCCCTTCGAAGACTTGTTTGCTTATGAGGTGCCATTGATCAACCTCGCCTCATCAACACTGCTTGACAGCCATTCAGCACTCGCTCCAACACACCTGCTGGTCACCGATCAGTCATTGTGAGAGACCGAAGGGCTCATCGTTGATGAACCGAGGCTTATCTCTATGGTGTAGCTGGGCTCGTGGTCTGTACCTGGGTCATGGTTCATCATGTCCACAGAACCATTCTCTACTCGGTTACCACGTGCTTGTGTTCCTAGTTATTGGACGCATATAGAACGTGCATATCCTATCGTCGTGCCATTGTGTGTTAGGTGGGTTTGATACGTGGTGGGGACTTGCTATTTGTTGATACTGACCTTATCTCGTGGGAAGCGATCAAATCTAAGGCGAGTTGACATTCTTTGCATTCGCCTAGTCGAGATAACCGAGCGGAAGTATAGATCGCAGAATATATCCGCGGCAGGGCTACCAGGGTACGTACCGTAGATTAGTCTCGCGCATGGAGCTCATGGATATTCCACAAACATCCCGTCCAATTACGAGATAAATGCGGTAGAAAAGGGCCGGGGGGGGGGGCAATAAAACGAAAAATACAAAAAAAGCCCTTACATCAAACCATCAAGTGCTCCACGGGACATTGGCCTCGAGAAGGTAGTTCAAAAAACAAAGGGGAAAGAAAAGAAAAAGAATAACCTCGCCCGATACGAGGCTCGAACTCGTAACCTTGAGATCACTATTATGACTCCCAAACGGGAGATATCATAAAAGTCTCACGCGCTGACCAATTGTGCCAACCGGGCCTGGTTGGAGAAAGCGTCGCCCAACAGAGAATATATGGTAAACCCAGCGCGGGGGTGGCAAAAGAGCACAAAGCCCAACGGGTCAAAAAGAAACTTGCGCCCCGTGTGAGGCTCGAACTCACAACCTTGAGATTAAAAGTCTCACGCGCTGACCAATTGTGCCAACGGGGCGTTGGTTGAAAGGTATACCAAGTACTGGGTTATATACCATACAAACAAAGCTGGTGGTGATTTGAACTGGCGCATCTATGCATTCAACGGCGCATTGGAGAATTGACCCCTTTCCTTCTGCCCCTCTCCTTTATTCTAGTCTACTCATTTCCTACTTTTCTTGAGATTTACTAAAAGCATGATAATGCTCATATTATGAATAGGACAGACGCGCTGCAAACATAGGCAGCACTGCATCCCGGCCAGCCAGACCTCCCTTTCGCCAGACATTAGAGTGCCCCATTCCGGGCCAGCCGAAAGGAAATTCGCATAGAACCTTGCTACATCGAATCTGATATGGACATAAGGAGGAGGGGTAGCACCTTGGGGCGGAACTACTCTACTTGTCACAGGATAGGTGGCCGATTATAGGATAAGAATATTCCACAAAAAGGGCTGTCAAATGATGGCAACTCGTTCAATTTTCCATACAGCAGCAGTACGAACACAATTATTCAAGCGGGCATTTCTGTTCTAGGCTTCCCTCCTCCCAGGGATACAACCCACCCATTCTTACTCGATTCCTTCGGTAGAGCATGTTTGTTTTCTTTCCTTTTTTTTTCTTTTCTTTTCCATCACTGTTACATCAAGGAATCTCCTACCGGGAGATGCCTACGTATCCGCGAATATCTATTGCAAGGAAAAGGCAAAACAAAAAGAAAAACCGCCCGATGCGAGGGTCGAACTCGCAACCTTCCGATTAAAAGTCGGACGCTCTGACCATTGAGCTAACCGGGCAATTTGTAATCAAAATCATACAAAAAGGCCTATACAGCCTGGATCCTGCAGGCGAGCCGATATCCAACGTTTCTGCAACGACAATATATAAGACTAGAAGAACAATTGGGGAAAGACGTCAGATAGATTTGGAAAAATATCATCCAATTGGCTATGTAGATGAATTTTTTAAATACCAGAATCATTCTCACATCATGGTCAGGTAGCCCCCATGCATCAAATGAAATCAGTTCGAGACAACAGCTGGCTAGAACGGAAGAGTGAAAGAAAAGGACAACCAAAATGGAAACGAACAGATCTAAGAGAGAAAAGGGTATTGGGCTCGCCAAGCACAAGAAACACAGAATCAGCGCTTTTGCTTTTCTTCGGTCCTTCACCAGAAAACACTTTTGTTCATCCATTACATGTCGTCATCAGTCTCGGTCCCAATGCTCAAGTCGTCGTCGGACACATCCTCATCGTCATCTGCCTCACTGTCGTCCTCGTCATCCTCGTCATTATCCAACCCCGGAATACCCCGCCACTCGACGTAGTCACCCTCCAGCCAGCGGCGACTGCGAGGGAGTTGGTATGGATCGAAGGGGAAGTAAGAGTCCGCTTGATAACCGATGTCATCTCCTGCGCGGATCTCACGCTCCACTTGGTGGAAGCGCGGGTCCGCCAATGCAGACAAGCTACGATAGGTCGAAATCCGAACGCGCTTGTTTGTCTCCAGAATGCTGTACACATACATGAGGTTGAAGTGTTGAGACATCCGGGCGAACTGTGTCACGATTGCGGGCGAGCACACTTTGAGCGGGTTGAGCTTTGAGTAGATAGTTTGACGAAGCACCTCCTTGACCGAGGGCGGGAATAGGATGTCTTCCGGTTCCAGTTCTTCAACTTGCTCTGGCGTGTCGCCTTCAACTGCCGCCGTGGTCAGGTCCCGCCACCGGAAACAGAAAATATAGAGCAATGCCTGGGATATCGAGTAAAAGAGGCCGTATCGTCGGGGGTCGGGTCCCCGGCACGTGTCCTCGAATTCGTTACGGAAGCTGGTCAATTCCGCACCCAGCAGGTCGAACACATCTCGCGCCATCTCGCCAGAGATATGGGCGCCACGCGCGACAAGACTAGCCAGATAGGCGACAGCTGATTGCCGCAAGATGGCCGGTTGCCTCCGATTGGTCATAGTGTGAATACAGGTGGAAGCGAAGCGTTCCGCGAGTTCGGGAGATGTTTGGGAATAGTGAAACAGGAGGAACTGAGTGTGGCGGGAGCGGTGGTTGGGAAGAATAATGGTTTGAAAGTGGCTCAACAAGAGCTCGAGGGCATTCTCCTTATCCTGAAGGGAGCCGGATGCGAACGCCGGTGCGTAGTATTCGAATAACAAATCGATCATGCCGTCCAGCTTAAGGATGTTGTCGCGAACGGTCTTGATACGCTGAGAGTCGTCGTCTACAGACTCATCGCTCAGGACGGAAGCGTCGTCATCGTCATCGTCCTCGTCCTCGTCGGCCATGATAGCCTCTGGCGAGACGCCGCGCAAAACGTCTTCGCCTACTTCGTCCTCGATTTCTTCCAGATCAACCTGGATCTGAACGTCAATCTTGACGACTTTCTCTGTGATCAGAGCTAGAATGTCTGCTTGCAGCTCCGGTGTATAGCTGCTGATCTTGAGCAAGTTGCTCGTGTAGGCAATGTTGGCCTTGGCAGAATCCGTATCGAAGGGGAAATGCACGGACAAGATTGGAGATAGCGATCCACTGCCAGACGGGATTAACTGCATGACATAGCGTAGGGCCATATGGACTCGCATGTAGATCTCCGATGCTGGCACGGGGACGTAACCCGGCACCTTGCCAGTGTCCTTGGGTAGCTCGCCCATGTAATTAACCAGCATCTTGAGCACTGGTCCCAGATAAATGCCCTGGGCGGCAGCAAGATTACCAAGGAAGCGTATATACAGCTTGATATAGGACTCGTCGCGGCCGAGCCACACACTATTCAGCACAGCCTGGACTAGCCCGTTGCAACTGCGATCTAGCGCGGCAACGTTTGACGAAAGACCCATCAGATGATATCTCAAGGATGTGGGTGTAGGTACATCAGATAGAAGAATGTGATCCTCATCCGGGCGCCGAGGGTCCACCGAGAAGAGCTCCTTGATCCGGTCATACGCCTCACTGTCGGTGCCAGAAACATGCCGTTGGATGGCCCGGCGCACCTCCTCTCGGACCACCGAGGCACTCTTTTCTGGTTTCGACTCCCGCTCGGGCGCTCTCTCATAGTATGGAAGTTCGCGCATCTCCACCTCCGGTTCAAACTTGACCCTAGCTCGCTTGCGAGGACTGGGGTTGAATTCGGTCTCGGAGGTCAGCGACGAAGAGGGTGACAGAGAGAGATCGTCGTCTTCCATCCTGCGCTTTATGCCGATCACTGAGTTCTCTCGTTTGGGTGTTTTCAGAATGGGCACGGGGGACGCTTTGGCTAGCATCTTAGAAGGATTGGTCAACGGCCTGCGCGAGGCGGTGGCAATGGATCCGACCATGACCGAACTGATATTTCTATGGAAGGATGAACGCAAGGGTATTGGAGCAGTAACCGGATTCCATTCAGGACGAATGAAAGAAGGGTTCAGCGTGGGGGAGATGACAGACGAGAGCTGTCGACAGGTCAGACGGTGGATGGTAAACGCGATGCACACAACACGGCTGAGGCAAGTCGCTCAGTGAGCCTCGGACGTTGCTACAGGGGATGGACACAGTAAATGATCAAGGAAATAAGCACCTTGATCTATCCATTAAAAGACACACACAGCGCCAGGACAGGGGGACAACGTGGGAGACGGGCGCAGGTAGACTTCAACAGAGGGGAGAACGGCTGGAAGGAGAGGAAAGATAGGAATCTGAACGCAAGGCGGAGAAGACGTAGAAGGAAACACAGCGTGAAATTTTTTGGGTGTGGGGCGGATGTGGAGCCTGAGGCCGCTACCCCGTGACTAGCGCGTGACCCTCGCGCCTGAGGCCTTACCTACTTGGGACTTGGGACTTTGGGGCATATGTATGTTTCCGGTTGTAATCTGTCTCTTCGCTCCACTTTCGGCCTCAACCTGATCTACATCTCGACGCTTTCTGCACATAATATGAGAACTTATTGCATTGGGAAAGGCAAGTATTCACTAGCAAAAAGCAAACCACTATTGCCGGAAATAAGCAAAGACAGAATCCATGGTCGCATTCGGTGACTAGCACAGATTAACATCTCTATCAGACAGATATGCAATGTTTTCACATAACAGCCACAATACACAACAGACCAAGGAGAAACAAACATGGGACACAGACAATCACAATCCTCCCGTGGTATATAGCGGATGAAGGTTCAGAACGGCAAATATAGGACAAGACATTAAAAGAGTGAATACGAGTGGGTCATAACACAGGCTAGCACCTGATTAAAAGAAAGGGATAATCCAGTACCCAGAAGAAAAATGCCATCTCACTGGACAGTGGCCATCGGAAAACGTGAAGGAATGGAAAGGAGCGCCAGCTGCTTAGAGCCAGGTGCCAGAGGCAATTGGTCCTCGCCGATCATCGAACACGCTCCCATAGAAGTCTTCAATCTCAACCAGATACTCATCAACAGTGAACTTCCTCAACCCTTTGTCTCGCAAGATCAGTTCTTCCTCATCGAGCACGCGCGTACCACCGAACTCCTCGACGACCTCGTTCACCTGCTCAAGTTCTTTGCTGAAAGGGTGAGGTTCCATGTGATAAGCCTCAGAACCTTGACGAACAGCGGAGGTGCTGCGTGTCGAGTTCAAGGGAGGTGGTGACAGTCGAGACACAGATCGTTTGCGGGCTAGCTCTTGATGCGAGCGCTTCGTGTGAGACAGGGCGCGCTTAGGTACTAGAGGTGCCTCCGCTGAAGACGCAGTGGATGTAGAGGAACGAGGAGTAGTGTGGCTGCTAACAGTCGCTGAGCGCTTGGGAAAGTAAGTGGGTAGAGGGGCGGGATCGGCATCAACGGGGGATTCGCCCGGCGTTGTGACAGGCGATCCAAAGCTGCGCTGTGTAAAGGAGACATCTGAATCATCGGGCCACTGAATTGAAGATGTTGAAGATGAGGACGCAGAATGAAGGTCCGGAGCATTGTAGGCCAGCATGTTTGTGGTCGACAATAACTCAACGGGCGCAGAGATCTTGCCTCGGTTGATAGTGCCTGCACTGAACTTAGAATGTCCCTCACGGTAAGGCATCGGCGCGGAAACCTCAGGGCGCTTGCTGCGCTTCGTGAAGGCCCTGGTGAGAGTCGACATGGTGGTGGTAATACTCGGGATCTATACGAACAACAGACGGCCGGGATGATCAATCGGTGCTGATAAGGGCCGATCTATTCGACTGGACCAGTCGGCCTATTTGTTTGTGTGTCGTTCGCTTCTTTTAGTAAGAAGATATGGATTTTGCCGTGGACGTTGTCTCCTATTTTTAGACGCCTCTCTCCAAGTACTCAATTCGTTTGCAAAAGTGCCAGTCGCCTTGCGTGGAATAGACCGAGAATGTGTAGTGGATGATCGCGGGGTGGCGGAGACCAAGAAGGAATGGAAGATCGATTGCCGGAATGTCCGTTATCAGATACGACTGAAGCGCTCTTGAGATTCCGAAAGAGATCGAATCAGTGGACGTTTCCTATCGAAAGGTTTTGTGTATTTCTTCCAGAATAATTCGTGCACAGCAGAAAGGAAGAAAACAGTTGGTCGGAAGGCAAATAGGATATTCGGAAAGGATGGACTGCACGGGTCAAGGGGGAGCCGACGACTTCAACGCAGCAGCAGCACCGAGATGTGAGAAGGTCCGGGCGGACAACCAGGACGCGCCACGGAAGAGAATAGAATTAAAAGCCTTTCGAGGTATGAAGGCAGGGAAGGAGGGAAAGGAAAGGAAGGGGATCCAGGATTCTCCGATCGAGGATGTAAGAATCAAAGTACGAGAAAGGAACGGCGAATAACCCCCAAGGAGGAATGGGAGAAAAGAAAGAGGGGAAAGAGGAGGGAAAAGAAGAGGCCCGGGGAGGAAGGAAAGAAAAGGGCAGACGAGGGACGGGACCGAAGGAGGAAAGCAAAGGAAAGAGGCAACAGTCACAGTCGAGTCACTAGTCAACTCGTAACGTTATTGGGGAGGGGAGATGATCTCTCTTTGCTCTCTTTGCTCTCTCTTTTTTTCCTCTCCTCTTTTTGCTCTACTCCATAAATCGTACCGTACTATCCTCCTCTCTGGTGCCTCCTTCAGCGCTTCTAATCTCCACTTGATCTCGCAGAACAAAAAGTCTGGGCTGTTCGGGAGGTCAAATTGGTGGGTTGTTCCGTGGAAAATTAAGCCCTGCGCCAAACCTCCGGCCTAGTAAGGTTCAATTGCTTGCTTGCAATGCCCTTTGTTCACCTGTGGTTCGGCTTAGTATTGGCGCTGGTTTAGGCCCAGAATGGGGAACAATGGACCTTCCAGAAAGAAAGAGATTCGCCTCTCCAGCCGTTCGTGCCTCTCTTGGTGAAAAAAGTCGATCAAAGAGTCTGGTTCAGTCGAACCACCGGTTCGTCGCTGGGGTAATTATTTGATCGAACCAGCAACAAAGCATAGGGAAAGCCCAAGAATTGGGATCTTGCGAGGGGACTGACTGACTGCATAATTCTTGCCCAAATAGTACGTTGCGCTCAGTACTCACCTCTTTTTTTTTTGTTCCGGTGCTCCGACGGGCAGCGCAGGCAAGTCAGGCGCGGCTAGTCGTGCGCTGCGATTTGCTGCATAGATCGAATAGTCTCGACCTCCAGGAGCGTTCGAGATTCCACAGTACCAAATCGGCCACGGCAAAGGTGCTACGTCCGGTGGCCAATGATACATGAGGCGTCGAAGGTGGGGGTACACTGGACTTATCCAGCATGACATGGAGACCATAACTACGGAGATAGTCTACGATGTAAGCTATGGGTTTAACATACGAGCCATGCTTATGCACCCCAGCACGAACTCAAGGACCTAAGGGATAAAGACCCTGGGGAGCCCTAGATGCCACGATAAGGCCAGCTCAGCTAAAAGCTCGAGCTACCCTAGAGATCCCAACGGTAGGGGGGATTTAGGGATCAACGGAATTTCATGGACAGAGAACAAATAAATCTCATGGAACGGTAAAAGTTCCGTGTTGTAGTCGTCTGGGACGATGGTGATTCGCAGAGATAGTCGGAATCATCTAAACCCAAGCGGGCGTGGTCAAACACGGGACTGCATTGCACTGCAGCGACGATGGCCAGCCCACTCGGGTTCTGGGCCAAGAAAGGCAAGGTGGCGCGGCCCTGGCGGGCCTCCTGGAAACCGCCATGTGCCCTGAGCGGTGGGGATGAAACAAACTGCCGTCTCACCTGCTCGGACTCTGTGACGGATGCTCATATCCGCATGACGTTGCTTGTTTTCCCCCTTCCGCATGCAGTTCACATCATTGATTCTGGTTCTGGCTACTTTTAGCCTTTTCAGCTACTCATGCTTCTTCAGTGTTCCACAGCTCATGTTGTCGGCCGGGGTCGACCCCTGACCGAATGAATGGTGTAAGTTAGAGTATGTACCGCATGAGGAGAGGATCAGGATCTGTTCGCGCTTGCGGGCAGGGCAGTGGGCAAGTCTGAGATTTTCAGCTTCCCCACTCCCGGGTCAACTTAATTACAATTAGATTGGCTCTCAGTTGACCTGTGCTTTTTTAGTGCGGATTCCTTTTTCTCCCACCACGTCTCTTCACGATGATACATCCGGTGGCTCAGATTCCCTGCATCAGATTCCCTGTCTCAATAGAGCTGGGTTCTTGGTGATCTGTCACTTGTTCAGGTGCGTCACCGGACGGAGGTGATCATCAATTTCCTTCATTCATTCCTTACATCACCGGTGATAGTACTCCGTATTCCGTACTCTCCGACCTTTCCGTAACTACAGTACCTCATGAACTGTACTCCGTACCACCGAGTGCAAGACACAGGTCCGGTACTCCGTACGTAAGGACTTTGTCAAACTTTGCTGAATGGAATCCGAGGATGAGCCAGGCCAGACACACCATGTGATTTGGTACTGCACTCAACCTGAGGCATCAGGCAATGTCTGTTCTCGGTAAACCAAACGGCCGATCATTGCCAGGCCGGGCGATCCCCCGTCCGCGCTTAAGTTACCTACGAGTAGTATTTATCATCGATTCCAGTTTCATCCTCTGAATGGGTATCGTGACGTTTTCATTGCAGGTCAATAAGGACTATGAAAAGAAACAGACAACAAAAAGAAGCACGACAAAACTATCTAGATATCTTCGCAAATTTTGAGGGTTCGACATGAAATTGTCTCGATTGTCGTCATCACGTGCTTTCGCTTGGCCTTAATCCTCATCCATCGACTCCCAGCCATCGCCGCCCTGCCCACCGCCAACCTCCTGTCCAGCATCATCGTCCGACTCATCCTGATCGGGCTGCATGCCCACCATGCGCTCCTTGACCTCGCCTTCCAGAGACGGCATGCGCGACACGAATGCGCGACGCACCGCCCCGTTGGTGGAGGTATCCCAAATCTGGACCACGCCCTTGCTGCCGGCCACGGCCAGGCGGAAGCTCACGTCGGCATCCGGTGCAAAGCTCGTCGAGAAGACCTTGCCCACCTCCAACTTGCGCGAGACGACCATGCTGGGCTTGTTGTTCTCAACATTCCAGAGCTTCACCTGCTTGTCCGTCGATCCCGTGACCAGGAAGCCGGGGATAGCTGGGTTGATATCGAAGGCCGACACGGAGGAGTCGTGCGCCTGCAGCGACCACACGGGCTTCGACTCCTTGGGGGTCGCGGGGATGTTGCGCACGTCGTAGCGGTACACCATACCGCCATCGGTCGTCACGTAGAAGTAGTTGGGGTCATGAGGGTCCCAACGCACGTTCTCGACATCCGTATCCACGCCCCAGCGAGCCTTGGAGTCGGGCGCGCGCATGTCCGCGGCCACCACGGTCCGATCGTAACTACCAGTCAACAGGATCGTAGATTCGGTGGGGTGCCAGTTCAACGAGCAGACCTTGTCGGTGTGGTGAGAGTAGGACTTGGCGCACTTGGTGGTCTGCAGGTCCCACAACTTGACTGTCCGGTCCGCCGAGCCGGAGGCCAGCAGGTTGCGGTGCTGCCGGTTGGCAGCCAATGCCAGCACGGCGTCAATGTGGTACTCGTCGTTGGCCTTGGGTTTCTTTTTCTTCGACTTCTTGCCCTCCGCATCGGCACCACCCTGGCCGAGGATGGCGTTGGGATACATGCAGTCGACAATGTCGAGATCCCAGATCTCGATGTCCGGCTCCATCGTTCCAACTGCGACGAAGTTTCCCGTGGTTCGGCCCTCAGCGGCCTTGCCAACGGGGATATCCAGCCACTCCACGGCCAGAGGAATGGCAGGCAGCATGATGTCGTGGTGTACGTAGAGATTGTCGGCGGCGTCCTCGTAGACGTAGACCTCGAGATGGGCGACCTCATCCTCCACCTTACCAGCCAGAATCAGGTTATCCTTCGGCATGATCTGCAACTCCTCTCTTTCCTCATCCTCCTCCTCCGGCGGCATAACCAGGTACGGGTCCTCCTCGTTCGGTTGGTGATAAGCCAGCGACTTGACATTGCCGAACATGGTGAACTTCTCGCCATCCTCATCGACCTCGTCGCTGTCGTAGTGGTCGAGATCGTACTCTTTCAGGTCGTCATCACTGCAATGAACCCGAAACATTAGATCTTCTCTCTCTCTCTCTCTCTCGGCCGCAATCTCCATAATACAAACAAACGACGGAGGATCTAATATCGACTTACTCGGTAGCAGTTTTCTTCTCCGCATCAGCCGCGGGCTTCTCATCGTCCTCCATAGCATCATCGCCGCCATCCTTCTGATCCTCCTCCATGGCCTCGTCCTCTTGCGCAGCCTTCAGGTCACCCTGCGCTTCTTCGAGCTGCATCTTCGCCAGCTTCGATATGCGATCCATTTCCTCCTCGTTGATTTCATATTTCGTAGGGAACTGGGCTGCGACACCTTGTCGCACCCACGCCGCCGTGGTGATCATAGACGACATATTGAGTGTGAGTCGTCACCTCCTTTTGTCGTTTGGAACAGAAGTGGTAAGAAAAAATAGCGATAGTGAAAGAGAACGAGAAAAAAAAAAGAGTAGCGGCGGAAATCGATAAGAAATTCGCCGCGCGTAACCTCCCAACACAGGGGAAAAACTTCTTGCAAAAACCTTCAAGTCCTTGTCTAGGGTCAAAACCAGCAAGACAAACCTGCAACTCTGCCTCTTGACGGAGGTCTATATATCAAGTAAAATGAAAAACGAAGTAAATCACCTCGAAAGACAATCCAGGGACAAAAAACAAATACGATAACCCAACTTCCCAATCCAAGTTTTTTTTTTTTCTCTCTGCTTGATTCCCCCGCCCGGCAGAATCCCCCTCCCTCCCCGATGTCCCATATTCACCGCCTTGCTATCAAATCCCGGCCGGCTCCCGCTGGAAGTCGGAGTGGCTGCAACTCAAGTACGAGTAACTAAGGAATCGTTGCGCAATTGTCAGGTGCTCAAGTCCTACTTCCAACTACGATCAATTACCCAGCAGTAAAGTTCGCCGAAGAACAATACCAACAAAATGCATTCCCACCTTCACACCCCCTACAACATCAGTATGGTTCCCCCAGCACTTCCCGCCGCAAACAATGAACCCCCCCCCCCCCTCCCCCAATTCTCAAGCCTCCAAGCCCTAACGTACGTGAACACAAACAGACTGCGAGGAAATCATGACTGCATTGGACGAATGCCACGCCCAAGGGTTCTTGCACAAGGCGCTGGGCAACTGCAACGACATCAAGCGCGAGGTCAACAAGTGCCTCTCGGAGCAACGCTATGCGCGCGCAAAGCAGAACCGCGACCAGGCGCGCGAGAACCGTCGACGGATTGAGAAGATCTGGGCGGACGAGAAGGTGTTTGAGGGGGTTCCTCCTCCTCCTGCTGCTGCTGCTGCTGAGGGGAAATAAAAGCCCTCGGGGTGACGAGATTGAAAAGGATGGCATGATCTTGTTCTATATTGTGCTGGCTGGAGATTTTTTATGGTTGGCGTGTAGGAATCTGTACTGTACTCTACTCACGCACACACACTCACACACACATTGCATCTGGGATTGGCGTTGGGGAAGGAGGATTATCATTTTTGTTCTACTTTTTTTTCCCATGATATGTTGTTTTGTGGTTACTGAGAGCTAACGTCTCTCGATTCCGGGTTGGGAAGAAAGATATCTCGAAAGGTATCTTTATCTTCCAATATGAAGATATGAAAGATTGGATATACAGCTCACTGCTCATACATATATGGACACATTTTTTTCTCTTCCATCCCAGCCGAACGCCATACTTAAAAATAGCAACAGAAAAAAGCGCAACCCGGATAAAAAAAAAGCAGATTATTCCTCCATGGCATCGCCCGCAGCCGGAGCCGCAGCAACGGACTCGCCAGCTTCATTGCCATCCTCCTGCTTAGCACCCTTGTTGTGATGACGACGTCTGCGCTTCGCCTTGGGCGCAGCAGCATCACCATCGACTCCTTCCTCCGCCGCAACCTCCCCCTCGGCCCCATCAGCGTCAGCATCCTTCCGCTTGGGCCGAGGCGCCGCCGCCGCCGCCGCCGCACCACCCTCGGTAGTCCGTTTCTTCGGCTTCTTCATACTCAACGGATTGGGCCCCTTGGCTTTCTTCATCCCCGGCTTCTTGCTGCTGCTACTGCTGTTCTTGGTATCTCCCGAGGCCGCCGCCGCCGCCTTAGCCTCGGCCTTCTTCCGCGCCTCCTCACTCAACCCCGCCCGGAACTTCCCTTGCTCGACGCCGTCGCGGATATCCTCCGAGGGGCCGCTCATGGGCTCCAGCACCATGACCGAGCGCTTGACATACACGATCGGCACGCCGGGGATGGCGCGCGCGCCCTGGCGCAGCTCCCGGGACTTCTGGATCGCGGTCTCGGCCTCGCGGTCCGTGCCGCGCTTGCGCTTCTTGCCCGCCGCGATCGCCGCCCGCTCCTTCTCCTTCTCCGCCGCGGCCGGCGCGTCCGCCGTCGCGAGAATGTAGTGCTCCTTGTTCTTCTTCACCTCCGTGGTCGGCGACAGCAGCGACAGGAGACACTCGACCTCGTCGATCGGGGTCGAGTCCTCGTTGTGCGAGCAGTGCCGGAGGGGCACTTCCGTCGGCGGGGGCAGGAAATGGGGACGCATCGGGTTGTTGGTGCGGGGGTGGAGGGGTTGGTTGGCCATGATAGCGGCGAGGGAGCATTTCGTGAGGACTTTGGTGATGAGGGGCGGTAAATCAGTAAAACAGAATCGATCATGCAACCACACACATCATGTGTTATTTGGGTTTCATTCGGAGGGAGGGAGGGGGGCTTCAGGCTAAGAACTTACGCGGCTTCACCTTCCCTTGCACGGTGCGCTCCAGCGCCGGGATCAACTCCATCTTGAAACTGTGCACTGCGCGCAGGAAATTTGAATCCACTGAGCCAAAGACAATTTGTTAGATGTCGAATTTTTTCGATGGGCGGAGCAGATCTTATCAGCGTCCCTCTGGGTGAATTGTTGCGACTTACCCAGAACTTGGTACGGCTCACGGAATCCGAATGTGAGCTCATACTGGTGCATCAGCTTCCGGTACTTCTTGGAGCGTTTGGCCCTCATCGTGACGGTGGTGAATTGGCCGGATAAGGTGGGATCGATTCAGTTCAAAAGACGACGATGTTTCGGCTTGCTTCGATGATGTCTGAAACTTTTTTTCTGCCGGTGATTCTGCCGGGCGGAGAGTGCTAGGGGGTGCGGTCTGTGCTTCGCTTACTAGCCGCAGCCAGGTACTCGTTTAGATAGAGACTGGACATCTCAACATAAAGGTTCAGTTCTTGAACTCTGCACTTATCCACTACATTTGTTTTCTTTCCTTCAATGTGAAGGTGGCATATCCTAGGTAAGAGCCAGGGTTTTGTTTGGAGTCGTTTCCGCAGACTACAGGTTGTTCCTGCATCTACAATCTTGCCGGCCAAAGTATGAGATAAAAACATAGATTAGAAGTTGTATAGTCTATCAATCGAATCTGTAAGCAAAATGCCTAAGTTGGCAGACAGCGACGACTACTCCACATCCCCTTCAAAGTAAAACACAAGTGGTATCAATGCCCATCGCCATGCAATATATACACCATACCTTCGCCATTCGACCATCTACACACACCCACTGAACGCCAAGGGCTGCCGTGACGCAACTGAGCGCCGTTCCGCCCTGTCGACAGTACGCCGACTGCCCAGGCGGCGTAATCACGCACGACAACACGGTATGAGACCCGAAATATTAGCCACGCATGTCGTAGTGGACATTCAGGTGGATCCTTGTATGCAAGTTATATCAATGCTTGAAATCAGACTCAATGCTCTCTCCTCCTGCACGCACCAACCACGACGCTGATATCGTCCATTTTCCCTGCACCGCGGGTCAGCATCCCTTTCTGCACCGAGACAGCGAGACCGGAAAAAGCTAAGTACACTTACCACCTTGAATGGCCAGACCCTCGTCGATTGCCTTCTCCATATATGGACTCTCCGCGAAGGGATCCTGCGCAATCTCCAACGTAGCCCGCAGCAGTTCCCTAGCGACATAGACCATCTGCTCGTGGGCCAGCACCTCCGGCGGCGCCCACTCGATTTCCTTGTTGTCATAGCGCCCTTGGTGCCACTTGTCGAGGCTCTCAAGAACGACCGTCAGGATCTCATGCTCCCAGAGATTGTCCACGACGCCATCCGAGACCGCGAGCACGATGTCGCCCTCCTGCACGTCGATCTTGCTGAGCACCGCGTCCTTCTTCGGCGTGTCGACGCTGTTCGTGCCCAACTGCATCGGACAGTCAAACCAGTGCCATTGCTCCTGGGTGCGGAAGAGCATCGTTTTATCGCGGGGCCGGATGACATAGATCTTGCAGTCGCCGAGACAGGTCACATACAGCAGCGGGTTCGTGTTCCCTGCATGATCGCGCGTGCAATGCAATAGGGCGGTGACTGAAGTGGTCGTGCCCAGCCATTGACCCGGGGAGCTGGTCGCTTGGATGGTTTCCTCGTAGGCCCGTTGCAGGTAGCCGATGGGGTCGAGTTGCGTACTCGCGTTGGAAACGCGCTCAACCTCCAGCGCCCAGAAGTGAAGGAGCAGTCTGGCCCAGAGACTGTATGGAGATCAAGCAAAAGAGAACGTGGTCAGCAATGAGCTTGGATGGAACAAGAAGACAACAAGATTCCTCTCTAAACCCTTGATGTAGGTAGTCTACAGGGTCCAAGGGGAAATGGGGGGGGGTGGGATTGACAATTTGGGGAACAAGGTTCGGAGATAACCAAAAAAGAAAAAAAAAGAAAAACACCTACGCTGCATGGCCCTGGGGCTTGGTTGCCCACGCTCCTACCCCATCATTAACAGCCAGATAATTGTCGGCGACTAGAACGGCATCGTCCCCATTGTTCAAGCCCCGGACTAGATCACCCCGAACGGATAATCTCTTATCCTGACTGAGGTAGTGGGTGGTCAGGGGGTCGGAAAAGGAAGATGACGGGGGAGAGAGGAACGGTGGGGGGAACGGCCGCGGCGCGCGTTTGGCGCAAAGGGCATAGCCCGTCTGGAAGCAATACGGAGATTGCGAGATGGGGAAATGTGGGTTAAGATCTGGAACCGGCGTGGTGATGCCGTAGGATGGCCAAACGGCTCGATATCGCCGCACCGGCACTGCGGATGTTGGGGAGACCCTGGAGTGCGCGCTCCACAGTGGGCTGCGTCTAAAGGCTGACGAGGGAGATGAGGGGATGATGATGGAAGAGGAGGAAGAGTAGGAGGATGAGGAGCACACAATCGAGCTAGCAAGCGACTTGGGCACCATGCCCGCTAATGATTAGAGGGAGTCTTTGATAGGTATTACTGTCGTCGTCTCTCTACAACAACTAGAGAAGACCGACAGAGGAAAATTTTTTATTTTTGTTTCTTCTTTCCACCAGTTTTCTCTCGGACAGTCTGTCTGAAAGGAGACACCGCAGGGCAGGATCGGGGCGGTTCCAGAATTTCCGAATTTCCCACTTCACTTGACTTGACTTACTCACCCTTGATCAGAGTCATGGTCAGTCAATAATTCACCAGTCAATCCGCTTGACTCAGCCGCCCCACCACCACCTGACTACTTTCTGCCTGAAGCCTCAGGCATTATTGACTGACTTGGTCGAAAATGGAAAATCCTGGGTAGATAAAGTGATGATCAACATCAATGATCTGGGGATCATCCAATATCACCCCACTACCTAGTAGTCCGAATATGTATCTGAATTGAGCACATACGTAAAGACGCTTCAGGCTGATGATATCGAGTTTTCTGCATAACATTATTTCCCCATGTCTGCTTTGCATTTTTCCTGTTGTGCACATGGGCTGCTCCTCCACTCATTAAATCATCACGTCATAAAGCATCAATCGTGACCGTGCAGAAAGCACAAAACAAAAACAAACGAGGGAAGAAACAGACTTTCAGAATCGAGCACTTGCTCAGGTTAGGTTCTTTAGCAGCCATTGGCCGCCCGCAGCTTGTCAATCTCGTTTGCGATGGTGGTCAGTGCACCTTTCATCTCAACTGCGAGATAGCAGAGGTCTTTATCGTCCCGGATGGTCGATACTGCCTCGAAGATGCTCCTGGAGAGGATGTTACACCGCGAACCGAGCTTCAAGTGTGGAAAGTTCCGGCGATTCTCTAATGTCATGACGGTCAAGTTCCATCCGGCACAAGGACAAACACGCTCGGGGTTCATGGTACAGGCCATCGCACAGCTGCAGGGTGATCTACAGGTACATCTTCTCTCGCGAGCATAATCGATCAGACCACGTCGCTCATCCGTACGTCGAATTTCACCGATAACTCTGCTTTCCAGTATGGCTAGTACTGCCTGACGGTGCCCGAGGATAGTCTCACGTTCCCACGCCGCTGAGTCTACCGATTTTTCTTCCACGAAACGCAGGCGTAGTTGCGGGACCTTGGTGCGAATTGCGTCCCTAGGGGCGAATGACAGATACTTCTCTGACCCAACAATGAGAACTTCTCTAGGGGGCATCTGATATGTGAGGCCCGGGCCGTCCCATTTCTGGCGGAACTCCGATTCTGGATTTGCCAGCAAGGCCAGGGTGGACCGACGGTATCCGACGAGGTCATCAAGCGAGAACCCAGTCGCCCTCAGCGTATTCACCGCTCGACGGACAAGCCCAGCTTGGTGTTGGCGCAAGATGTCCTTGCTGAAAATCAGGCACACGGATGGACTGTCTAGGGATTCCTTACAGACCAGCAACATCTTCATTGTGCTATGCTGCTCGGGAAGCATAAAATCATCCTTGGTCGTGACGCGGGGGATCCCAAGGTGAAAGTAAGAGCATAGCTCGGCGTTCGCGATTTCCATGATCAGCTTGGCGTACAAGGAGTAATACAGAGTCTCCACAGCTCTGACCAGATCTTTGATACTGTTGGACGTCGCGAGCTCCTCTGCCTTCCGGATAAGTGCTAACAGGCCTTCATTATCGTCCAACTGCCACCGAAACTGCACGTGTTAGCCATGTTCACCCCCAAAGGAATTGAGACGTCAGAGTGTCCTTCACGCACGTCAACGTTGTAGAAGTAGAACACTACGACGACAAATTTGGCAATGGCGTAGACCTTCTTGTAGACCTTCATCACACTTTTGATCCAGTCTGTAAGATCCTCATTACCAGATGGATCCATGTATCTGACCAAGCCATTGACCAGACTCCAGTCAGGAGAGCCAATTGCGTAGGGAAGGGCGGGACGTTCGATTGGAACCATTTGCTGCGCGTCTCGGTCAACCCACAGGCTCAAAGCAGGGGATGATTCTAGAGAGCGAGGACGCGCAATTACCTCGATACAACTTACAGCTGATGCGTAGGATACCGCAGTACTGCCTGACGAGCGCAATCCCATCTCTTCTGCCAGTCTTCTGTAGTTTTCCTCCCTGCTTGTCTGAAGCAAATCCTGAGAATACTTATAGAAGCCATCCTGCTGGTCGCCGAAAAGGGTCGAGTCCACGGATTCCTGATAGGTATGACAGTGAGGATCGAGTTTCAAAAAGTGAGATTCGTCATCATCACCACGCGGGAATAGTTTGCGCCTGGTCGATGCCCATAGTTGCGATGCGGCTCTGTGGGCGCCCTTCATTTGAAGAGATAAGAGATCGATGTGACTTGATGTTCACTTGAGTGGTTGGTTTAAGAGTTACTCGAGTGATCGATGTGAAAGGAAAATGGAATGATGGATGGACACGATAGCGCACGAGGGGTGACTGAGAAACAGTGCGAGTGATGAGAAAAGAAAGCGATAGCCAGGTGAAAGAGACCCAAACCCCGTGTCACAGTACAGCGAAGAGGTAAGGCGAAGTGAAAGTGAGCATACGGGGATGAAAGTGGTAGAAGCTAGCTAAGTACCAGACATTGTGTTGACATCGCGTGTGAGCGATGGAACAGAGAAGGTACAGGCGGACAGCTCAGGTGTGCTTGCTACTTCATCACACTTGGACCACCATCGATCTATATGCACAATTGCCAGTAGTCAAGCTCTCAAGTGTTTACAGCTTATTTGCTCCAGTCGAAGATACAAGGTGAGAGAAGCTCTAACATTAGTGAGAGGATTCTAATACAGAACATAAACTTGCTAGCCTCCTATGCCTACAACCAGCAAGAGATACAAGGACATTTCGCCACCCATGCGCTGCGCCAGTGCATTTTGACAAGGACAAATAATGATATCAAACTATGAAGGCAGTGGATCAACTTCGATGAGGGCCTTGTCCCCATTCGACGTGTATGGTAGAATAACTTCTGGGATTCTCCATAAAATTTCATTTGCTCGCCTAATGAAGTCGGGCGGCAGATTCCCACTTTCGCTAAACGAGAGAGACTTCATATGAAGGAGAAAAAGTAATTAGCCTGCATCTCATGGAAGACCACTCAGGGAGTTTAAGGTCGATTGACCCAACCATATATGTATGCTTACCTTTAAGCTGTTCAGACCTCTCACCCACTCAAGCCCCAGGTCACAAGCCTCGTCGGGTAGGCAAGGATAGTTTTCAACATGATAGAGGAGTATATCATGGCAATTTTCCAGCCATAGTACTTCCAACTTTGCTCCAGGAGCTGGACTGTCATCGTCCATGTTCGAGTCGTCGAGTTCTCCCTCGATGCCACCTAGCCAATCCAGGAATTCAGGCTGAACTCCACGACACGTCCTCAACTTGAGTACTCTCAGATTCGGGTTTCTTTTGACCAACATCATTAGCTGCCAGGGAGTGATACCAGCTCGCTCCATGACCAAACTCTGCAATCCGCGGGGTCCATAATGCGCGGGCTGTCCGATCCCGATCAGAGAGTTCCACGCAGTACTCCCCGGTGCGGGACTCAACCAAGCACTTGGTCGCATGGAACCATCGCGAATATGTGGATGTTCAAGCCGCAGCGCAAGGTGGTTGAGAACATGTCGGCTATTAACAGCCAGAGCCGTCGCGCCCGTGACGTCGAGATTATATGCCATGAACTCGAGATTCCGAAGCCCTCGCCCGTAACGATTGACCACCTGCGCCAAGATTCTGTTTTGTTCAGGAATTGTATGCTCATAGGTCCGGGATGTCTCTTGCGTAAGATGTATTCGTCTTTTGTGGTCCTTGACTTTCACTGCGGGCTTGTAGGTCAACGGTGAGGCCCCGTGATTTGCCGCTGACTGAACGATTGATATTCTATAGCTGTCGCCCCGGACATTATCAGCTGAGCCCTCCAGCATCTGTTCTGGTGTCAACCATCCAGCTCGTAGTAGGGAGATAGCCGAATGAGAGCGCTTTTCAAAGACACCTAATCGTAGATCACTGAGGCACAGAGTATGCGACTCAAAGTTGCTGCGGCATGTCTCTCCAAAGGCTAGCAATGATTTAAAAGGCAGGTAAGAGAGAATGTGAAGGATAATTTCCAACGGTAAAGAGCTTATTTTATCAGACATCATGGGGTTTTGCCGGATGTCTCAGCCTGCCGTGGAAACGGTTTCAAAATCGCAAGGGAGTCTGCCAATTAGTTTATAAGCGATGGTCCCCGACACGCCTCGTTTGCACACTAACATTCGCCATCCAGCATGACTGGGACCTTATGTGATTAAGACAGCTAAGATCAGCTGAGTCGTTCGCCGAAGCCGAGAATGGCGCGCTCTTACCTGTCGAATCGTAGCTGAATTATCAGTGTCGCAAGTTTGTTTATCCCCGCATCAGCTCCGGTTCCGAACCAACAAGGGTTGTGGAGGGGCGTCTGTTCAATATGAAGAATGATCGGAGCTATTATACCACTATGTGCATGATGTGAGAGAACGAAGAACGCAAGAAAAGAAAAGGGGGACGAGAGAGAACGCAAGGATGAGACACCCACGAGGAGTGAGGATGTCCCGTAAATCACGGGGAAATCATTCCATGCAGGTGGGGACTTTTTCTGGCTGCACCATCTTGATCCAATGGCCTCATCGCATCCTCATTGGGACAATGCATATTGAGCTTATGGAAAGGCTCAACCCTTGGCATGAACCGGTCCGGAACAACTGAAGCGATGGAGGCCCTTGTGGAGGCTAGTCTAAAGGACGACTTCTTTAGTCGCGGTGGGTAACCCGGAGAAAGCCAACAGCAACGGCGAGTCAGTCGCCATTGACACTAAAAGGTCAAGGCTAACTGCAATCAAGCCTAGAATAGGTTGCCTTCTAAAGTAGCGAAATAAGGTGGGATTGGGCTTTCATATTCATTCTAACGGAACCAATCTCGAATTTCCCGTTGTACTCTATTCTTCCTTTTTCGTTTTTTATCCTTGCAGACCGGCTGCTGGGCGATTCGCTGGTTAGACAAAGCCGTGAAGTACGGGAATCCATTCGAATGGACGATGCGATCGGGTAGCACAGCTGCATGCTGAGCATGGGCGCGCTCATTGTGGGCAATCTGAGTGTGACACCTGAGCCTCACGACCTGCATGAATCACTATCAGCATTAACCCTATTTTCCTAGGTCTAGGTGCACAGTGCACACCAAAGAACGCCAATGCAGCCGGCACCCCCAAGGTCGGGATGATTATAATAAAAGGGTAGTACTATTGCGGTGATGCTGTAGGGATGCAGCGCCAGACGCAGTGGGCTGAGCTAGCGACTACAGGGCATCGCACGTACAGTACAGTACGTACAGTATTTAACTTACTGTGGTTACTTGTAGATCTGCCGCGAGCAGTTGCGGGCCCCTCCTCGGGTGGAAAGCACTGACTTGGTTCCATTGATTCCCACACATGACCGAGATCCTCCAATAGCAGGCAGGGTGTGGTGAAAGGTTGGTAGCTGATTCAATGAGTACCTCCTAGTAGTACTAGGTAGCTTGTCCTGTGGTCCCTTTTGAGCGTTACGTACGGAGTAGCGAGATCATAAAATGGATGGATGTCCGCGAGGACAATAAAGGAGACACTCCCGGTAATACTGGAACTCGATGTGACAGGCAGCAGGTGACCCAATTCTGAGACTCGAGCGATTGGCCGTTAACCGTAACGCCTTGTGAATGGAGGGACTCGTCTAGTAAGTCCATCGATAGTAGTTCAACAATGCAACGACGCAGCGATAGCGCAGTTGTGCTCTTTTTAGGCGCGTGCCGGTAAATTCGGGCTGCTTGTGGCGGGAAGCGTTGGAAGGTCGAGCTTGCAATAGTTATTGCTTCCCGCCCTATACTCGGGTCGGCTCGGCGAATTTGTTAGTTGCTGGTCACATATTCTCAAACTACATGTTTTCATCGCAAAATCAGCTGCTATTAACCAGCCTTCAAGAGGAGAAATCAAGGGCATGGGGTACTTGGCTGAATGGGCAATATGGCAGGGATAGGTAAGAATGGTCAAATGAGGCAAAAGGGTAGCATTCGCCCTAGACTCAACATTAGTTGAGTTGAGCCCAGTGAGGGGGACATGTCCCTTAGCACTGCAGGTGACAGGTAGTTCTTTGATCATTCTGGCATTACTGTATTGCTGTCAGCACTTCCCCACCCACCCCTCTGCTTGTCACGGTTCATCTTACGCACGCTCAGAAGCAAGGGTACTCTGCACTGTTGCTGATCGATTTCCAATGAGACTACTTCTAGGCCCATGCGCCTGTCAACAGTAGAGCTCAAACAAAGACAAATCCAGGCAAGGAATAGAAAGAAAATGAGCATGCGATACGAGTAAAGCTATACAACTGAGAAGCAAACAACTTCGGCCTATGCATGTATGCATTGTCTCCAGCACTACCCCTCCGCCGAATTGCAATATTCTATACAGAGAGAACAAGAAGCCCGCTATCCTACCCCTGGACCCGGAAAGTACGGCCACTGGCTGTCTTCCTCTCCCGCTCTTCGTTCTCGGGTCTCGCCCGGTTGAGTACTGCCAGGAATTAGTGACATGAACCCAGTCGAAACCCGACCGACATCGAGGCTTACCTTGGAGGAAGTCTGCAGTCCTCTTGCGCATCCGAGTGTGGATGTATGCCTTTCTGATGTGTTAGCGCCTGATTATTGGACCGGAAGCAAGAGCAAGAGCTACCTTGGAGGCTTTGATGTGGTAGTGGAAGTAGTCACGGAAGATCTGAATGTGGGAAATGTTTTCATAGCGTCTTTGAGGTGTCAAATGGCGAGGGAAAAGAACTATTCTCGATCAGTGGAAGTTGCAAGACAAAGAGAAAGGAATGCTGGGTGCGCAACTTACCAAATGTGACGTAGCTCAGTGTGCCGTCGTTGACGTTCTGCAGACCGGGCACCCCAGCCAACTCGAGAGGTGGATCGTTGCGGAAAAGCACTTGAGGAGCGTTCTGCAGCGTCAACACACGACGTCTGGCATCAACGAACTCCTGCAAGAAGACTTTGCCGAAAATGCGATCCGTTTCTTCCCGGAAGACGGTGCTGAAGATGACTGTGACTCGATCATGGCTGGCCTTGATGTAAATCGCCTCCTCTTCACGGTAATGGATAGCCATGACCTCTCCTCCTTCCTTGACTCCCTGAGGAGCCGATTCTGTGGTGTATCTCGAAGCCTCCTCCGATAGCTTTGCGAATTCGTCGAATGCTCTTTCGAAAGGGGCGGCCATCGCGTTCCGCTTCATCAGCGCCAATCGCATGATAAGGTCATCCTTTGCTTCCT